GATTGCAGCAACAGGTAATGAAAAATTGAGAGATTTTGAAAAAGTGTTTTACCGGAATGTAAAGATAAGTGAAGCCCATTTTACCCCAGAACAACTGATTGTGTTGACGCGTAAAATTAAAAATTGTGTACCTTCACTAAATTTGCCTGGTAAGAAATATTCTATTTGACATTTTTTTCTCTTTTTGGAATGTTAGGCACACTAAATATTGAAAAAAGGATCTAGTATAATTTTATTACCCTCACAAAAAACAGACATTTTATTGCACTACCTACCTTAATTTAACTCTCTAGCCACAAATTATTTCGTCCTATTTTTTTGCGTTTTCATTATTTATTTAAATAAATATAACATAAAATAATAATACTACAATAAAAGTCTATATATATTATATGTATGACTTCAGACTATAATTTTAGATATATTTTTAATTATAATTATAGGTAAAAAACATGTACCTATTAATTTATTTTTTAGCATCATTGGATCTGAACACTCAAATAGATATTCCTTCCTCATCTATACACAAGATAAAGAAAATATTGCAACAACAGTGAAGCGCCATGGGGATTGCGAGTTACATGCAATTGCAGGACCATCAAAAAAGTCTCTGGTGGAAATTGTTGAAAATATAAATATCCAAGACCCTCCAGTAGAACTGCCTTGCCTTTATTCACCACCATTAAGAAGTGATCATTCCAGTAATGTAAGTCGTAAGTTCTTTATGTGTAATAATTACCTTGTATATCATGCAATATTTTAACATTTCAACTGTTATTATATTATCTTCACTTTTTTAATCACGAGATTTTTAGAAAAGAGTAAGAATGGATCTCTGGCTGTTCCGTCGTCTACTCTACATGACTCCAACGGCTTTCGCTTTACAGGAAGTAGTAAAAAGTAGTCAGGACGTTAAAACAAAAAGGAATGAAACTCCATGCATCGAATTCTTTCTTTAAAGAAGAGACTTGTGGCTACCAAAAATGTCATAAAGAATATGAATATCGAAGCTTTGACAAGGAAGTTAACGCCTTTCCAAAAGACGTTTTTCTATTCACAATTTAAGAATGCATCACGTAAGCCATATGGTAGAGTATACAATTTAGATAGTAAAATTGATGCAATCTTTATTTGGAAATTGAGCCCAATGACATGCAGTACCTTAAATCGCTTAGGTTTTTGTCTCCCTTCTGTCGCAACACTGCAAAGGTTGCTACGCTATATTGCGTTAAGACCAGGAGTTTCTGATATTATATTTAATAGTGATGGTTCTATTGTGGCGAATATGAATGACAAAGAGAATTTTTTTTACTTTGATATTTGATGAAATTCATATTCAGCCACATTTAGATTCCAAAGTCACAATGACGTAATTTTTGGGCTCGATTCACAAACTAAAAATCTTGCTAACCATGCAACAGTATTTATGTTAAGAGGTGCATTTTGTAAGTGCAAGCAGCCTGTAGCATATATTTTACATAATTCAGCGCTGCAGGCTGAATCCTTAATTTATTATTATAAAGGAATTATAGAGATGTGAAAGCATTAGACTGAGAGGGTAATAGCTTCAGTTTGTGACCAAGGTACTAATAATATTAAGGCCATAAAATTGCTTGATGAGGAAACTAATCATAAAAATATTTTGAAAGGTGTATAATCTAGAGACACATCTGTTTGTGTTCATAACACTAACATCATTTTATTATTATATATATTATTTTACCATTGTTTGACCCACATCATCTCCTAAAAACTTTAAGAAATAATCTTCTTACAAAAGATTTAATTTTTTACATAAATAATACAAAAAAGAGAGCATCTTGGTCACATATTATAGCAGTTTATAACATTGATAAATCTTATAATATAAGAGTTATGAGAAAGCTTAATGATCTATATATTGTAGCAGAAAAAAATAAAAAAATGAAGGTTTCAACTGCAGCACATATATTTAGCCATTCGATAGCCGCAAGTTATCAAGTATTGTGCAATGACAGGCATTAAATCTACAAATGATAAATTTCAATTAAACTGTGCGTTAGATATTACAGAGTTAATAGAATCTATCGATCAATTATTTGACAGTGTCAATGGTATATCAGAGGGACAGGAAGCTGGGAAACCTTTAAGGCAAGCGGTGTCAGCAAAGTCACTCCATATCAGCCAATGGATGCGTTCACTGGCTCTGTTTAAAACTATGACTAAATTTATTAAAGCTAAAACTAATGACAGGAGTAAACCGCCTGTCTTAAATGGTTGGATTAGAACATTAAATGGATTTATTTCACTACGAAAGGCGCTGTTGCATAATGGCTTCAATAAATTTTATCCAAGAATGTTTAACCAAGACCTCTTGGAACAATTTTTTGGACAAATTCGATAATATGGAATGCGAAACATCAATCCAACCTGTTTAGCAATTAGAATTTATTATAAAGCTTTATTAATAAAAAAATATTAAATATCATCCACGTGACGCTAATTGTGAAGATGATGTTTTGCATTCTCTAGCCACAATTAAAAACTTAAAAAATCCATTTAACGATTCTACAACTCCTGACGACCGTTGGCATGTGTCTGAATTAATTAATATTGATATACATGATATAGAAACTGCGGCATTAGGCTATGTTGCTGGATTTGTTACAAATAAATTATTTTAAAAAGTTTCTTTTGAATGTAAAGTTTGCAAAAACAATTTTGTGCATCTCAGAGTCCAGATGCTTTTTTACCATCTATTTACATCTCTTAAGGAATATGATCACACTCAACTACAAAGTTAAAGTATGTAAAAGTTGACGTAATTAAAAATATTATTAAATTGTACAATTTATTACAAATCTTATTACCATCTGCATTATTTAGTTCGCAATTAAGAAAAAGAATTGTAAGTGTTTTGTGAATGCATGTTACATTTAATTTTGAACAGTGTCAACACACAGAAGACACTGAATTATTTTTATTTGATTATTTTACAAAAATATGTATATTTAATTATGTAAAACAATCTCAACAATATCTTGACAGGTAATTCAATCGAGCAATTATGTTCTAATATGTTTAGATCTAAAAAAAAAACAAAAGAAATAAATTACAGAAAAGTAATAAATGTATTATAATTAAATAATTAATTTGTTTTAATTATTTAAAATAAAATTGTTATTACTCCGAATGGGCACGAGTATGCCCGTAAACCCATATTGGCATTCTTTATTTAATAACAAGATGCCCATTCGGAGTAATAACAATTTTTGTGGTAATTTTGAATTAAATATGAAATTAAAATTTGACTTAGCAGGGCGAGGAGCGAGGGGAGTTTAAATTTGACCTTGAATCCCTGAGCCGCACTCATCTCACAATAGATGGGAGCAAACATTTTGTTCGCGTTTATTGACTGATCGTTCTGTAGTTATTACGAAGGTAGAGGGACGTTCGCTCGGAGTTCTAGACGCTTCCGCTTCGAAAGCCAAACGACCCTTGTGCGAACGCTAATCGTATTTTTATATTTGATTCATCCATCGTATTACTTAACATTGATTAAAAAAAGAATTGTAGTTGTCACAAAATCCACAATTTATATTGAATTTTGCTATACACCTGAGATGAACCGCCTATTTAAAAATAGACATATTTCTTTAAATCTAAAATATTCAGTTTTAAGACACACTGTATACATAAATCAAATTATTGATTTTTAAAATATTATTCGCAAAAGTAGGGAGAGGGAAAGAGGCGACGACCCGAGATGATAGTTGTAAGATTATTAGCTTACTACCATTCGAGACGCATTGATTTATTTTGGTTCCTGAGTTTTGTGACAAAGAATGTTAGTAAAGGTAAAGTGAGAATTTTACCTTTACTTACCTTAGAAATATTTTCTCATTATTTAACTAATGTTAACTAAAGCATATATTTTATTTTTCTGTTCTAATATTCTGTATTAAAGTTTTTCCTTGTTTATTTCATCTGAGAATTATATCATATAACATGTGTATGTATTTAATGGAGTCTATTTATGCTGTAAATAATTTAAATTTAAAAGTAATCAAAAACAATCGTTTACTGTCCATTCATGCCGATGTTTGTGGTTCGGAGTGAGAATAAGAACCTTGTTGAATGTACTAATACTTTTCGACCGTGACTGGGCGAATATCTTAGCTCGCAGAGGGCAACTAAAAGCAATAAATATAATATTAAGATATTTACACCAAACATCCAACTTTAGCTTCGAGATCCGAAACCAGGACCTTAGTACCTTCAGGCGGCGACCTGCTAACTAACCAAACACTCTTCAGTTTTGAATGATATAAATGTGGCATGTTTTGAATGTATAAAACTACAAACCTTGGTATGAGGACAGCTTCTATATTATTATTATTTATCTTTTATTGAAGTTAAGGACAGCATAGTTAGAATCTCTGGAATAGTGATCATGGTTTTCTCTGCCGTGCTCTTTTACTTGTGAATTCCAGGCGGAGTACGGCACTCCTTTCATTTCGTTTAATAAAATAAGTAGGGCTATTTACAATCTAGCGTTTTATTTATATAATCTATTCTCCTTAAGTTTCCCAAAATATTGCTTCTGTCGAAGCGCATCCGAGGTAATCACAATAAAAAAATATTTAACACAACGTAGGTTCCTTTCTTTCATTTAAATTTCTTGTTATACAGTTGGCCAAAATATTACCTCTTCAATTTTGTTGACGAATTTGGGTTGTTACACCCTTTAAAATCGGGATAAGTAAAATGTGATGCTTGAATAATGATTGAGTTTTTATAGATCTATAATATGTGTGTAAGACACATTTTTTAGCTACCTAGGTCATAGTATTTTTATGATTTTAAGTGGATTATTTTGAGAACAAACACGAGTAAATTACACTTTAATTTATTTATTATTCAATTGGTACTTAAATATTAATTGGAAGTGCAACGTAATTTTATTTTATGATCCTTGCGATAGAAGCGTTTTTGATGTATTCATAGATGATAGTACCTACCTTTGCGTTGCTGCTAGTAAGGAATCCTCATCATTATAATCAACTTCCTCATCTTCGTCATACATATCGCTATAGCCCATTTTCCTCTTTATTCCCTGGAACACTTTTCGAGTTTATTCCACTTCATAAGTTATTACACTTCATTAATCAAAAAATTGAAAATGTCACTTCCAAATACGCGGTAGTACTTATCGCTTTGTTTTTTATTTAACACTTTTCACTAAATTCGAATAATTCTAAATATGTTATCGAGAAGCAGCTTGTTTGCTATTAAATGGTCTTAATTGAAGTAATGTTTTCTTTGATTAGTTTTTTGAAACTTTTTGTTACGATAAGATACGGTATTTTATCGTGATTTTTTTTTAAATCAGAACCTTTTTGGATGGGATTAAAATTTATCAAGTTAGATTATATTTTAAACTACCAACTGCCGATTTAATTCCACTTATTATTGGATTGATTGGCATGACAATAAAACCATTTTTAAGATTCTTCATACTAATCTTATATATTTGGATAAGATATGCATGCCTTTCTTAAAGATAAGTTCAGACAACAATTCTGATCCAGTTTTTAATATATTTTGTTCCTGAAATTTTAGTAAGCATTCGTTACTAAGCTTAATTAAAGAAATCATATAAAAAAATCATTTCATGAGAACCAAGCACTGGTATTTATAGAATAGAAATACGAATTCAGAAAAAAAATCACTTGAATTTAGTTTGTTTTGGAAAATTGTGTAGATAGCAATATTTTAAACCAGCCTCTACACTATGCGAAAAACTCTTCGAAACATGTCAAGGTAGCATTTCGTTGCGCAACTTTGACGCATTTCGATTTATTTCCAATTGTCTTGATCCACTTCGGTTTGCCTCGATCTACTTTCGATTCTTAAAAGCGCCTGAAAACTACTCGTGAGGAGGGCGTGGGGGGATTTTTTTGACTTTTTTTATTGCCTCGTTCAATTTTGTTTTGAGCTATTTCCAAAACGTGGCGGTATCTGTATCTGAGGCAAAGGATTTTTTTCATAAATCTTAATGAAATAAGTAAACCTAAACGTTTCTAAAATAGCTGTTGTTACGACGATATTTCGTTAATCACAACTCGTTTTATATTATATTGAAATATATTCCACAAAATTAATATTTGAACACGCGTTTAATTATATGTATAGTAGATATTTAGGAACAAAACCTTTCATTTAAACTGCAGGAATATAATTACAATATTTTTATGATTTAATTTTATTATAATGAATTAGTATATAAAATTGCATATATGTTGCGGGACGGCATGACCTTGTTATGCCGCTAAACAGAAAACGCACTTGGACTTGGAGCAACGGAGCTTGCCAGGTCGAGGTAGACTACCAAAATCGTCCTGATGATGGAGTATAATTCCGAAACCAGTCGAGGAATGGTTGGTCTCCTTGACCTTACAGTTGCGGGTTGGAACCTTTGGTGTTACACAGCAAAATAAAAACACTAAATCACCACAATACACCAAAACACTTTTACTTTTACACTGGACGCGCGTTTCGCTAGCCATGTTAGCATCATCAGCAGATGATTATAAATTAAAGTACAATCTACAAGTTGAGCGTTTATATACTCGCTCAGTGGGCACTGAGTGGGCACTTAGGTGTATTGTGGTGATTTAGTGTTTTTATTTTTCTCCTTGACCTGACAAGCTTTAAAAAGAAAATTCGCACATAAAGCAGGAGTACTGCTGTTAAACGCTTTTCAAACTATAGTCCTGCTAAAAAATGCGTACCTATTGTTATTAGAATTACACGTAGGGAAATCAAAATATATGTTTTTTTTTCTATGAAACAAGGTAATGCACTCCTCAACGTATATGCACTCCTCGATGGCCTTGCACGAGACTGTAAAATTGTCTTTAATCATAATTTCTAGATTTATAGTCCAATACTGTTTCCTGTCCGAATCTACTACAAAGAAATATACTCTATCTATAGTTCATTAGTCATGTTTAAAAAAATATTGGTTTTGCCAGATTACGCATTTTCAATTGAATTTAACTTTTAACGGATCTGATAACATCGTTTTATCTATTTGATTGATGCTTTTTGTTTAGAAATGTAAATACTGCGATACAGAAATTGGAGGAGAGATAAAATAACTTAGAAAATTGCAGTAAAGATAGTGTGGTTTTTTCAAAACTACATATATTCGAAAAAATATATTAGTCTATCAGCAAAATAAAGTTTGCAAAAGCTGTTGGCTGGCCTATTTTATTTTCTAAAAGTTAGAATTTACCGGCTTCTATGCAGGGTCTAGCATATAGCAAACTTCACAAAAATTTAATCTAAACTTTTCGGTTAATGCAAAATATTAAAAATCAAAGTTATAGGCATGTCAAGCAAATGGTTGCGCTTTTACCTTTTTCAAACTGCTTTTGAAAGACGTCAATTCCAGCTTTATACTATGTTATTCTGAAAATATTTACTAGAAAGTTTTTAGAAAATCCAACCAAGGAAACTTACTATAATATTCATTACGCCATAATGTAAAAAATAAGTATAATTAAAGTCGAAATAAAAGCCTCGTCATAGTAAATTATGAAAAATATGAAATAGGTATTGTTTTGGTTTAATTATAATCCTGTATGTGTAAAATTATGATTCATATTTTTTGAAACACTGACTGCAGTGTGTATTTGAAACTTATTAAGTTTTTACGAGTATTACACCGAGCGACAACGAAATCAATTGGTTTTATATTATAATAAATTTAAAACTTGGATTGAGGATATACTTCACCGATGGGAGAGTAAGAAGAAACCGTTTTAAATAATACTGGAAGGCTTCATCCAGTTTATTGTTCATCGCAGCATCGAGGCTTTGGGCCTTAAGCTGAACATCAACAAACCTAAAATCATGTGCACTCCCCCGGAAGATCACAACAATGCTATAAAATCGGAGAACTAGTGGAATATGTAACCGAATTCAATTACCTGGGCAGTTTGATTTCGGAAAAGGCCAATATCGACTCTGAAATTTAGCACAGGATTAGCAGCGCCTCAAGAGCATTCTGGAAATTAAAAGACAGGGTTTTCTACAATCATGACTTGAGCACAAAAACGAAACTTGCAGTTTACCGAGCAATAATAATCTTCACCATGTTATGCGGAAGCGAAACCAGGGTGCCGTACCACCGTCACATGAACGCATTAAACAAGTTGCAACAGAGACACCTTAGACAACTATTAAAAATCAAATAGTTTCATCATGTCTCAAACGTACTCAAACGCCCTTGAAAAAGCTAACTGCGAGAGTATTGAAGTCATGGTTACAAAATTCCGCTTAAGATTGGCTAGTCAGGTATGCAGAATGCAAGAAAACCGCATACAAAAATATCTGCTTTACGGTGAGCTTGTAGACTGCAAGAGGAGGCCGGGTGTATAACTCAAAAGGTACTATTTTCCACGACAACTTAAAGGGGATTAACATACAGAATGAGTGGGAAGGAGCAGCTCACAACAGAACGCAATGGAGAAGAATTATAAACACAGCCAACAGCGACAACCGTAAAGTAAAGAGGCAACAAAGCAATGAGATTTTTGAATGGCCGGAGTGCGGTAGACAGATAACATCACGTACCGGGCTATTCAGTCAAAGAAAAACTCATGAAAGAAAACGCCTAGCGTGACCATCTTCTGATGCGTGTCAAATACTCGTCAGCGAGTAATGGCAGTATGTATGTATGTAGTTAAAATCAAAGATATTAAATAAAACTTAAAGAATTACTGGCAATTGAAACAAAATGGTAAAAGGTGGTTGATGTGGCCAGACTGAATCGAATTATGGGTTATTTACCACATACGACACGGAATATTGTAGCTAAACGATTAAGTTTTGGGTTCGTCGAAGGACTATTAGAGCTACAATACTCTCTCTTCAGTCCTTCGCCCTACGTGAGCGTATGGTGACATCATTTATTGATTCCCCTCACTTCCTTTGACCAATTCGTTCGCTATATGCGAGGCTTTAGGCAAGCTGTGGCTCACTAGGGTCTTGACTTAGTCAATCCACCTCTTAGGCGACCTTCCACGTGATCGCCTTCCCTTTACCTTCCCCTCCACCATCAGTCTCTCCATTGAAATGCATTTCCTGGCAATATGGCAAAAATGTCGCAGGATTGACTGATTTTATTTTGCGACCAGACGTGCCTCAATTATTAGTTCTTCAATAATGGAAATGTTTGTTCCGTGAGCCGTCCATGGTATTCGCAGCAGTCGTCGATATACTCACATCTCAAAGGCGTTTATTCTTTGTTTATCACTTTCCTTTAGTATCCAAAATTTACAATTTGTACAAATTTAATCGTTTAGCTACAATACTCCGTGTCATATGTCGTGAATAACCCTGTATAGGGTACACTATTAAATTTGATATTATAGCAATAAAACTAATTAAACTTTTAGTTACGTAATCGACGGGACGCATATACGGAAAGGGTAATGGGGGTAATCACCCCCCCCCAGGAAGAATTTTATAAATAAAATAAATGTGGTAAAAATGAAATTTTGATTTAAAAAAACTGTTTACGATTTAGTTTTTGCAATAAAGTTGAAGCCTCCAATAATTGCATATCACATTTTCTAATTCTCAGGAGTAGACGTTTTTGTTACGACCAAGACTGATAATAACAGACATCGATAATCCTGTAGTTTAACCGATTCAATTCGATTTGAAATAAATCTCAAAAAAGTTGTTAACATGCCATCTAGTTATATCAATATTAATTAGTTTCAAATATAGATAATATAATCTGTGTATTGTGTAAGTAGATAAAAGATAGCAGCACTACACTTTTGTTAAGTGGTAGGGTGGTATTAAACATAAATTAAAAAAAATGTGTTATACTGCCACCTAGTTGTATCAATATTAATATTACGGATAATATAATCTGTATAATGGCGTAAGCAGAGTTAAAATACATGTCAGTGCTACACTTTTGTAAGTAGGACTAAGATAAGCATTTATTTTATTTTGATCCAATAAATGTCTACTAGCAGTACTATTTATGCACTATATAAAAATGTACTTTATAAGTCGCACTAAACCGGTAATTAGTTTTCTAAAATGGAAAGAAGTTCATATTTAAATACTTTTTTTAACAATATCAATGTATTTTTCATAAATTAATAATGCTTGTCTCTTAGAAAATATTTGCAATAATTTACCAAATATAATACAGGCTGCTCAAAAAAATCTTGCAAATATGACGTTAATAAATCTAAAAAGTCTATTTTTTAAATGGAAACCCCACATTTTACTTCGTTTTAATTTATTTGCCATCAAAAACAAATATAACTTTTTACACACATTTATTATTAATGATTATTATTATTTATTCTGTGTAGGAAAGTATATAAAAGGGATAAGGGGGTAATTTTTCTTTATGTACTCCAATTTAAAGGAAATTTTAGAGATCGTCAACGAAGGCAGGATTATCAAAATGATGAGTACTTTCCTTCGAATCATTTTCATCTGCAAATGAAACAGTCCGGCGCAGAGAAGGATGGGGTTGTCTAGTTTCAGACTGCGTTTTCAGTACAGTCTCTCGACGTCGGCTGATGGCTGCTAAAGTCTTTTTGGGCACTGATACACCGGCTGAAATATTTACAAATATTTTATTAGTATTAAGTATTAATATAATTATATACGAATCGGCAATTTTATATATCAAAAATACTTAGATAATATATATCAACTAGGCTCACATCTAAGCTTTGATACCGGGTTGCAAACCAGTAGTTCCAAATATATACTTTCCGGGTGTTGCATCGTCGAGCGGGACATAGGAAATCCCATGTTAATTTTAATGGGGTCAATTATTGGCTTCCCTAATTATTTCAGAGAATAATTCTATTTAGGTTTATTGAAGAGCACTAAAACCCACATTCAAAAGAATAACTTTAGATATTTTTGATTAGCCCGTTTACGAGTTATCGCCGATTTCTTTTTAAATATTTCTCCTCTCATGGCCCTGTATTTACTTATGAGCACCAGCATAAACAAAGAGCACCAGTCAAGGTAAAAGATAACTGTCAAATGAAGTTGTCATTGTGCTTTATTATTATTATTAAAAACTCATAACCTATACATCGAAAATATTAGCCATAAATTACACTACCGAAGAAAAAGTATTGATGATTAAATGGTATTATCAAGGAAATAGTTATCAAAAGGTGTCGGACATGTTTGCTGCTCTGTATCCGAATACACCGATACCTGGAAAATCTACAATCGCAAGGAATATCCAGAGATTTAAGACCAAAGGTACAAGAACTAAAGAGAAGATGCAAGAAATGATACCGACTTGGAAGTTTTATTGTGCGTGGAAGAGAACGATGGGAAGATCAGCACAAGGAAACTTGAGGATGAAATAGGAATAGATCACACTACAGCGTTTCGAATTCTGAAACGACATACAATACTATTCCTTCAAATATGAAAAGCACCAACAGCTACGAGATGGGGACGAAATACGGCGGCAGGCGTTTTGTTTTGATATGATGGAAAGAGCAAACACGGATAGGGAATTTTTAAAAAACATATGTTTCACTGACGAATGCACGTTTACCTCAGATAATGAATCCAATGTTCAAAATTATCGATATTGGAACAAAGAATCCACAGAAAGTAAATGTTTGGGCAGGGATATTCGGACATAATATTATCGGGCCATTATTTCTTAGGCGAAATTTAAATGCAGAATATTATTTGGAACTACTCGAAAATCATATTTTACCTGCTTTACATGATTCCGCTAGGGAAAATCAGGAAGTTTGGTACCAAATGGATGGCTGCCCGGCACATTCAGTTTACCAACTAGCGAATTTTCGAGGTTAGATTAAACAGCTGTTTTAGGATTTTTCTTTTACCCACTAAATTGGTAGGGTAGGAAGGATCACATCATATGATTAAAATCCGATCCATTTTTATGCATTCCGAACGATTATATCTGAAATTGGATTACATTTCGAACGTAAGGATCTCTAATCCATATGATCGAATTAACCCGATCATAGTTTCCGAAAACCCCTATAAACACATCTTTAAGATTTCCGATGTAGGAATGAGTTTTCAATAATAATAAAGCACTAAATAGGTAAATTTCTGAAACGACAACTTTATTTGACAGTTATCTTGTACCTTGACTGGTGCTCATAAGTAAATACAGGGCCATAAGAGAGGAGAAATATTTAAAAAGAAATCGGCGATAACTCGTAAACGAGTTAATCAAAAATATCTCAAATTATTCTTTTGAATGTGGGTTTTAGTGCTCTTCAATAAACCTAAATAGAATTATTCTCTAAAATAATTAGGGAAGCCAATAAATGACCCCATTAAAATTTACATGGGATTTCATATGGCCCGTCCGACGATGCAGAACCCGGTATGTACTATAACCACATAGCATTTTCTTAAAGCTGACATAAAACTTTTTGTAAATTAATAAATTAATATAAGAATTAAAATACTTCTGTTCATTCAACAAAATTAGAGTGTCATTGAAGAAAATTTAAAGCGCTCAGACACATCTCTGCCGGTAGGTATAATATTAATAGGTATACTTATTATATACTATTACGTTTTTCGTCGGTTCCGTGTGGATAAAAAGTCTAATTTATTTAAACACAATTTATTTTACACTTAGTAACAAAACAATAATGATAAAACACTTAAAGAACTATTTACAAACTTTTTTTACTACTATTTATCTAAAAAGGAACTTATTTTAATTTATTTAAAAAGGCGCGAGCACTACCGATTGTTTTCTTACCGAGATGTACACGGTGAATGAAAGTATTTGCAAAACTGACCCCTGTGGACTCTTGGACGGATGAGCCAACAGGAACAGGTGAAGGAATTTGTCCCAGTCTCTTTGGTGGTCAGAGACTACTTTGGCCAAATAACGGTTGATGGTTCTGTTCATGCGTTCAACCATCCCATCGGATTGTGAATGTAGGGCAGTCGTCCTGATCTTGCGGATATTAAGGACTTCACAGACGCCTTGGAACAGATTGAACTCGAAGTTTCTTCCCTGATCTGAATGCAGCTACATGGGAACAGCAAACCTGCAGATTCATTCTTTAACAAGGGCATCAGCAATGGTGGACGCTTCTTGATTTGGCAACGCGTAGGCCTCAACCCATTTGCTGAAGTAATCTATCAATGTACTTGTTGCCATCGTTCGTCTCCGGAAAAGGTCCAGCCGTCGATCGCTATTCGTTCAAAGTGACTGCCTACATTGTACTGGCGCATTGGGGCTTTAACGCGCTTTTGTGGCCCATTGATAGCAGCGCAAACGTCACATTTCTTACACCGGGCCCTCACGTCTTCTTTGCAGCTCACTCAACAGAACCGTTCTCGCAGCTTACCAAGGTCTTGGTAACACCGAGATATCCACCGCTGGTTCCATTGTGAACTTCCTCCAATACTTCCGGGACCCTCTTCTTTGGAATGATGATCTGCCTTCTCACTTTTGTCTCTCTGCTCTCTCGATCGCACGGCGAAGTAATCCGTTATCTATTATCAAGGAATTCCACTCGGACCAGTACGATTTTACGTTCGGCCAATATCTGCAAACTTCCTCCCACGTTGGTCTTTGGTCCACGTTTCTCCAGTTAATAACTAAGCGAAATTCTGGATCATTGATTTGGTCATTTGCAAGATCTTCGGTTTGCTAAGTATCATTAACTACAGTCGTTCTTAAGACTTTCACTTTTTACTCTTCTTTCCAACGACATCCCATCTGTCCGCAATTCCAGCAGCGAATCGGTCCCCCCTTCTTGCTGATATACTGATCCAGTACTTTCCGCACAATCCTGTCCACTTTGGAGTCGTCGGAACAATTCTTAATAGTCCGTACAAAACCTAGAGACCTCTGGAGCATTCTTTCGCGGCCTCATATTCGAGGGAACGTGTTATCCCAAATACGGTGGATGAGCTAAAAGAAGTGCTTGCCTTGTCTCGTTGTCACGTAAACCATCCGTCAAAGCATGTGCTGTTAAGCGCTCCATTGCATTTTCGGGCATAGCAGGGTACGCAAGGCGAACTATTTCAGCTTGATATTCTCGTAGGGTCTCATTAGGCTTCTGAACATGGTTTTTGAACTGGGAATGGTAGACATGCTCCAAATGAGCTTACAAATAGAACATACATGGACAATTGCAAAACACAAAAAAGGCGTATCAATAAAATTTAACAATAGGAAGATAGTAAATAGATATAATTTTAAGAGTTATAGAATATTAGTTGATATAGAATGTAATGCTAATTCAAAATATACAAATGTATGTGATGTATAATGTGTGAAAATCGGCCCATGCTCAGAAATGCCGACCCGGTATAAGTACAGAAAATGTTTGTAGATAAAATCCTATTTTCTTCGTTACTAAATAAAATTCTGTTTTTAGTTAAAAAGAAGATATTTATAATCGCACAATTTAATTTCATAAAGGCTTTTTGTTTATTTGCGAATTAAACCACCAATCTTATACAATTTAATAAAAAGCATCTCAGGAGAACGTCACTTAGTAATAGTTAATGTAATATTCCTATATGCGTGTTACGGACTTTTCTTGGGGCGCAAAGTAATTTCCCAACGGACTTGATTACGACGAAAGTTGTGGCTAATGGAAGCATAAAATTCTATTCTATGTTTAATGCAAATCAAACACTTTTTTTGGTTATTTCGTATGAATTGTTACGAAGAATACTCCTATTATTCTAATTTATATCTCGTATCGGTATCTAATTATATAAAATAAAATAATGCGAGTTAAGTTCAGAGGAAATATTTTTATCTTTACAAACCTAAAATTTTTACTCTTAAAAGAATATATTTCTTTAAAAGTCATAATATCTGGACGTTAATTTAGTTGAATAACCTCAATTGTCACATTCTATATCAAATGTTTTAACGCTCTTTTTCGATCCCATTCAAATTCCGACTTTGAAATATTATAAAACTTTAAATCGGTCTTCAGAAAACCAATTAGGCAACTTTTAATGCGTCTCTGGTGGCGAAAGTTTTTCATTCTGATTCGGCCGCGGCTAGGTTACGATTTTAATGAAAAATAAAACACCTCCGGTCGAATCTAATTAGCGAGTTGCTACAACGACCGGCTTAATGATTTTTTCAAGAGGCTTAATGGCTTGTTGGAGTAGTATTTCGAATGCCACCAGGATCTTCGATCAGAGTGGTATTTGAATTGCATGCCTCATTAAAGAATAAATTTAATTGACAAATATCAAATATTAAATATTTAAAAAGAACAAGTTACATCCCTCCACTTTTTGCTGTTGCTTAAATTGCTTTATGCGAATAAAGCTTGATTTTCATGCATCCGTTATACGTTGATACGATGGACCGACGGTGCTCTGATTGGTCATAGCGTTTTCGCGCCACTTTTCATCCGTAAATATTTTACTTCAGCCAAAGCTTCAGCCCGTCAACGGACCCGTTCATACGATAACGGCCGTTTTGACACTTTTTTGACAAATTTAATCTTCTTCTTCTTCTTCTTTTAGAAGGCGTATCGCCTGTTTAGTTCCGGTTTCCTCCTCGTCTAAGCAACTCTTGCGAGGTTGATGAGCCAACTGTCTGGCCAACGTTTAGGTGGTCGTCCAGTAGGTCTTCTGCCATGGGGTACGTTGTTGCGAATTATTATGGCCATTCTGTCGGGGGCCCATTCTATTGACATGCTGGTTCCATTCTCTTCTTCTCTGCCTTATCCATCTGACAACGTCGTTTGTTTGGTACTTTTCTCTTATGTCTACATTTCTCGGTCTGTCCCTCAATGCCCCTCTCTCTGTCTGTCCCTCAAGTTATCATTCTTAAGGTCTTCATTTCAGTAGTTCGTGGATTCTCTTTGTTACTGATGTTTCAGCTCTGGTTTCCGCACCATATGTCATCACTGGTCGTATGCAGGTTTTGTATATTCTTGACTTACATTCTGTACTCAAATGTTTGTTTTTCCCATATGGATATTTAAGATGTCCTGATATTGCGGCAGCTTTATTGGCTTGTTTCCTTACTTCTTCTTCCAGGAATCCTGAGCTTGTAATTTTGCATCCGAGGTACTCGAATGACATTATCTGATCAATAGTTTTGTTTTTTATTACCAATTTGCACCGTAGAGGCTCCTTTGTAATGGCCATGCATTTGGTCTTATTTGTGGAAATTTGCATGTTAAGTTTTTCTGCCTGTCTGTTAAAAGCTTGTAGCATTCTTTGGAGGTCGTCCTCTGACTCTGCAATAAGTACTGCGTCATCGGCATAGCATAATATGTTTACTTTATGCATTCCCATTCGATATCCTAATCCAGTATTCTTGACGGTTTTTATTACTTGATCTATGATTGTGTTGAATAACAGAGGGCTGAAGCTGTCGCCTTGGCGAATACCAGTTGTAGTTCGAAGATGCTGCGTTAAGGTAAAATTTGTTCTTATTTGGGTTGTTGTGTTTGTGTTTAAGTTCCTTGATTCCATTCTATATCTAACATTAACAGTTTAAGTTCCTTGATAAGTTCTGTGAGTTCTTTCGAGACATTACTGCTTTCCAAGATGGTGATGATGTCTTTTAGTTGGACTCTATCAAAGGCCTTTGTTAAATCTATAAAACATAGATAGGCTGGAGAGTTATATTCTAAGGATTTTTTCAACTAGTTGCCTGAGTATGAATAGTGCATCGGTAGTTGATCGGTTTCTCTTCGGAATCCTTGTTGTTCCTCGCTTATTGGCACTATTGAGGAGATTTTGTCCGCAATGATCTTAGTCAGAAGTTTTAGCGAGGTGCTCAGTAATGTTATTCCTCTATAGTTTGCTGGGTCTGTTTTATCTCCCTTTTTAAAAATGGGTATTGTTATACTTTATGTCCATTCTTCTGGTATTTTCTTATGTTGTAATATAATGTTAAACAGTTCTTCTTCTTCTTCTTTTTTTATGATGGCTCTGCTACAAGGCAACCGCCAGCTCAATTTGAGAGTGACCAAGATGTTGACTGGCTCTAAACCATATCAAGGCCACTGATTCTTATCCGAGTAAAATGTATAATGGGTAAATTTTAATATAACTAACTTCAATGAAGGTAACCTGTGACCTGTGACTGTAAAATGTTATTATTATTATTTATTAAATGTATTTGTGTATTCCTCTATGACAGCCGTGTTATAAATTTAATCTAACCTTAATAAAAATATGAGCAAAATAGCAAAATCGTTATGGAAACGAAATTATAAAATAACACCAACGTACATCCGATAAACGGAGGCATGAAAATGCAATTAATTTAAAAATTGCGTTAATATCGTATCAACGTATCGTCGGACAACGGATGCATGAAAATCAAGCTTAAAAGATTAGATATACCAGTATACTCAAAAGTGGCTCACCCCTATAACTTTTATTTTTTCAGATACAAAATTGAAATTTGGTATGTCAGTATATAGGGTGTCCCAGGCTGAACGAGCATTAGAAGTGTCCAGAGAACCACAATGTCTAGATAGGAGATTTTTTGCACATCATTGTTTTACGACGAGATCTATCGATTAAAAATATTTCAATATGGCGGCACTTCCGGAAATGCCGATAGTTGACAAGAATTTTCTTATTTTAAATGGATGCCCCCGTTTTTATTACATAATAAAATTCTTTGTAAAATTTTATGAATTTTGATATCAAATCCTGTATGAAACATTCTATATCTAACATTAACAGTTTTTCAGAAAAAAAAATATTACAACCAATCTACTACAACCTGTCAAAAAAATGTGTATAGCCCAAAGTCAAATTTAGTGATTACCACAACTACTGTGGCATAAAGAGGAGGCATGTAGCTATCTATTTCAAAAATTAAATTGTTCGAATATCATATAATAATGGCAGTAGCATTATCATAAATCAGTTTTTTCAAATAGAAACCCGCTTTTTTTATTTCACTAGTGAAATGGTTTTAGAATAAATCGTTTTTAAGTTATTTAAAATTTAGTTTGAAAACGTATATTTTTCTTGATTTTATCTAGCTTCCTTAAGTGTCAAACAGTCAGACAATTTATTTCCATCTGCTAGAAAAATAATTATTTGAATTTCCCATATTATAAATATTGCCTGCCCCCTTAAGAGTTTAAAAAGTGTATTTATAAAAATATATCTCGTATTTTCGCTCTTTAGTGATATCTAATAGTTGATATTATTAATTATAATAATATACCGTATATAACGGTTTTCTTGTAGACGTATGTTTTAAAAAAGTAAAGTGTTCTCGAATAGTTGAATTTAAATATTTTAAATAGATTTTTTCTTTATTCTTTGTATTTTTTTGCTTCCGACGACGGAAAGAGATAAACTTTCCGAAACGTTAAGTATTTTTTTTTGTTAGGTTCAAATTTGTATAACTGTAAACATAACTTCTGACAAGCAGTGTCCGTTTAGGTTTAACGCAGAAGTGTTAAAAAAGGATATTCATAAAGGTTTTTTTTTGGAGAGAATATACCGTGTACATACCGTATACCGAGATACCGAGAATGATCGAAAAAAAAACAGCGCAAAGTTGACTTGGAAATGATGATCGATAACATACTTCTTTTTGAACAAAGCACCACAATATGACATGGCCAGATCTATTGTTTTACATCACTTGACGTTTAAAGTCATAGGCTACTCTTTAAAATCAAGAAAAAAAACTAACTTAATTTTAAATAACTTAAAAACGCTTCATTTTAGGTATAGGAACATGTATAGTCAAAAAGTAACGAATTGAAAAGCCTTTTTACTAGTGAAATAAAAAAGTGGGTTTCCATTTGAAAAAAATGATTTATGATAAGTTTTTAGTCGCTCAATTCCATGACAGCTGCGGCCATTATTAAATGACATTCGAACAACTTAATTTTTGAAATAAATAGCCACATGTCTGCTCTTTATAGCACAGTGGCTGTGGTAATCACTAAATTTGACATTTAGACTATACACATATTTTTGACAGGCAGTTTTTTTCGGTCTAAAATTTTAATTATTTTTTTTTCTCAAAAACGGTTAATGTTAGGAATAGAGTGTTTAATATCAAAATTCATAAAATTTTACAGAGAATTTAAGTATGTAATAAAAAATTATTTTAAACGGGTGCCCCAACCGGTTTAAAATAAGAAAGTTGTTGTCAACTTCCGATATTTCCGGAAGTGCCGCCATATTGAAAATATTTTTAATCGATAGATCTTGTTGTAAAACAATGGCGTGCACAAAATCTCCGATCTAGATATTGTAGTTCTCTAGAAACTTCTAATGCACGCTCAGCCTGGAACACCCTGTATAACATAGTCAGTATAGTAATCAGTATTTTGTTACTTTATTCGATAGAAAATAACACTCTGAATAGAATGACATATGATATGCCAACTTTTGACATTTTTGAATATGGTTTGTTTGAAATTGCAATATTTGATTCATTTAACTCAAAATACCATGTGCGTGGTTACAGTCAGGGTCATCCTGTAACATAGTCGAGAAATACTTACAGTCTTCATTACGCCTAATTTTACGCATTCTTTCCTTAAACGCCGTATCTAAATCATTTATCATAGCTCGTTTTTTATGTTTATTTTCCATTAATACAGCGACGGTTTCTCTTCTAGCCACATCACTATCTTCTTCTTTGTCATCATCACCATTAACTCCTTTTAGCTGTATTAGTTTTTTGAAAATTTTAATTGGATCTCTTTCTAACAGGTCATCGTGGGACATATTTTCTACCTAAAATATCAATTAATTGACTTAAATGACATCTACTTGACCTGTACAGGGTGGGTCAAATTGGACGCTTTTAAAGGGAAACACCCTTTTCTATAGGAGATAGACGCAAACTAATATCGGTGTCCGGAGCTCAATTTTTATCAAAAACATGATGCTGAAAACCGCACATCGATTTTTGTACCGTTTCGGATTTAGGGAGTGTTGTTCAAAAATGTGCATTTTTAATAAATCGCTGTAACTTTTTTGCTACGGAAAATTTTGTATTTTTGTGAAAACATTTTCAAAACACCTTTTTATGTAGAATTTAATGGTTTGAGTATATTTTTTTTAAATTAGTAACTGAAGAATTATCAACAGAACATTTGATTTTTTATATGGGACACCGTGTATATTTTTAATTCATTGAAAAGAATTTAAAATAATCTTTCCAAAAATATAGCATACTTGATATTTTGCTCAATTCCTCTTCGAGATATAGAGTTTTTAAAAATTCGACTTTGAACAAGTAGGCTTTGAACGACGGCGGCTACAATGCAAAAAAATCATAGCTGTGAGCAGCAATTAAAACGAAAATAATATTTGCAGTGAAAGATGCAGGATTTTATAACAATTTAAACTATATTTAACAACATCAACACACGTAAACTATATTTAATAACAATAAAAATAAATATTAAACCAAGACATGATATTTTGTTACATAAGGTCATTACGTCGACTGGCTTCTGTTTTGGAAAGACAGGATTGTTTTTTGAACATTTCTCGCGGAATTCATTAACTCAGTGGGGTGAAAGATACCTCGCATAACTGTTAAGTAATTCTCAATTTTTGTCTATTATACGCAATTTTAAAATAAGAACCTTTATTTTCGTGCAAAGATAAACTGTAGGCATTTGGAACTGGCGGTCTCTGACGGCCAACGGCTGGGATCTTGCTGAAGAATAATTATTCTGAAATTGGCTGATAACTTCTAACAGCGTTCTGAGGCAGGTCTCGTCTTGGTTGGAAAAATATGTTTTTTAGTTCTATTAAATCATCAATAAGGGGTCCAAAGCCTACTAGTTAAAAGTGCGAACTTTTAAAAATTCTGTATTTGGAAGGAGACTATAGCGAAATATCAAGTGTGCTATATTTTTGAAAATGTAATTTTAAGTTCTTTTCAGTTAGTTAAAAATATACAGGGTGTCCCAGATAAAAAAATCAATTTTTCTGCTGATAATTCTTATGTTATTAATTTAAAAAAAATATATACTTAAACCATTAAATTTTACGTAAAAAGGTGCTGTGGGAATGTTTTCACAAAAATACACAATTTTCCATAGCAAAAAAGTTACAGCGATTTATTAAAAATGCACATTTTTGAGAAACACCCCCTAAATCCGAAACGATACAAAAATCGATGTGCGGTTTTCATGTTTTTGATAAAAATTGAGCTCCGGACACCGGTATTAGTTTGCGTCTATCTTCTATAGAAAAGGGCGTTTTGCTTTAAAAGCGTCGAATTTGACCCACCCTGTACTCTTCTTTTTTTTTAATTCGAAAATAATAATTTTTGGGAGATAGATTTGTGTGTATGGGAACGTTCTATCCCTTTTTAATAAATATATAATTAGTGTTAGCTTTTGACATGTTAATTTTAAAAATTAAATGACGTCTATAGATTGGCGCCGCCAAAATTATCCCTGTCATTCTCCAGCCGTTTTTTTATGACCACTGTATATTATGTTAAGCAAAAGATGAGAGTCATGTTTTAGTCATGTCTCATGACTAATCTTACTGTAGGCTTGCCCAATAATTTTTTTCTTCTTCTTTATTATGTTAAGTATATTACCTTTGGTTTGAATAAATGGAAATTTAGTGTACTGTTTGCCATGATTTGTGCAAAAGTACTAAGCCGATGACGTAACATGCATGTAAATTGAATGACCATTACGCTAAAAAATACTGCACTAAGAGCTAATCCTATTGGTTCGAGCTGTAGATAAGTTTTCATTATCATGATCTAGAATTATTAAAACAAAAATATAGATAATTGTTCCTAGAAAAGTATTTTTTTTATTGTACCTCGTTTCCGTATGATGCTTTTGTATATGTAAAGTTTACACTTGGATTAAACGGCCATTGGACATGTAGTAAATCTTTTCGCAATGTCATTAGGAATATTATTAACACGAAGAGTAAGTTCAGCATGAAAAACGTAATAACCATTTTATTTCGTAATTCCTTTAGTTCTTTACCAACTTTTTTCTGAAATTAAATTTATGAATGTCTAGAGCTACCAAATATCTGAAATTTTCACTCTCGGTAGGTGATAATAATAGAGTCTTAATAATGGTAATGTTAGTTCACTACAGAAAAATATGAAGGGTTTCTTAAAAATAAAATACATACTTAAATTAAGTTAAATATTAATAATTAATTAGTTATTTCTTTCTATCAGGTATAATATTATTTCTAAAAACACAGGTGGACAGTTTCATGATCAGCTATAAAGATATTCTTGTGATGAGGAAAATAGCAAAATAAAACACTAATTCACCACAATACACAAACCACTCTACTTTCAACACTGGACGCGCATTTCGCTAGCAGTTTTAATCAGATGCAGATGATTAAAACATTTAGTTCGTGTATAGTGTTAAAAGTAAAATGTTTTTTTTTGGGGGGTTTATTGGGGTGAATTAGTGCTTCATTTTGTTGTTGTAACATCAAAGGTTTCAAACCAAAACTTTAATGAGAAAATATCTGAAATAATTTATGTTTTCATATTTATATATCTAGGGTGCCATATTTATACAGGGCGTCCCAGGCTGAGCGTGCATTAGAAGTTTCTAGAGAACTATAATATCTAGATCGGAGTTTTTTTGCACATCATTGTTTCACAAGGAGATCTATCGCTTAAAAATATTTTCAATATGGCGGCACTTCCGGAAATACCGGAAGTTGACATTTTTGAAGGAAAAACAACTGCCCCTCAAAAAAATTTGTATAGCCTAGACGTCAAATTTATTGATAACTGCAGCCACTGTGACATAAAGAGAAGACATGTGGCTACCTACTTCAAAAATTAAGTTATTCGAATGTCAAATGACATTGGCCGTAGCTGTCATGCGATTGAGCAATTAAAAAATTATCATACATCTTTTTTTTTTCAAATGGAAACCTACTTTTTTTTTCACTAGTGAAAAGGTTTTTCAATTCGTTACTTTTTGATTATACATGTTCCTATACCTAAAATAAATAGCTTTTAAGTTACTCAAGGAGTTTTAAAGCTAGTAAGTTTTTAAAATATATTTTTTTATTTTATCTAGCTTCCTTTGACATTAAGTGTCAAAAAAGAAGATTTATTTTCTTCTATCAGGAAACTAATTACACGAAATTCGTATATTATAAATACTGGTACTTACACAAATATATCTCGTATTTTCTCACTTTAGTGATATCTAAAAGTGGATATTATTAATAATATACCGTATGATCGAAAACAAGAACGTGGCAAAGTTGGCACGGAAATGCGATCGATGACAGTGATTCTTTAATAAAGTGTTAAAATATGACATGGCCAGATATATTGTTTAACATCGCTTGATGTTTAAAGTCATAGGCTACTGGTTAAAATCAAGAAAAATATACGCTTTAAAACTTAATATTAAATAACTATTTATTTTAGGTATAGGAACATGTATAATCAAAAAGTTGCCAAATTGAAAAACCTTTTCACTAGTAAAATAAAAAAAATGGGGATTCCATTTAAAAAAAATGATTAATGACTATTTTTTAATCGTTCAATTCCATGACAGCTACGGCAAATATTTTTTGACATTCGAACAATTTAATTGTTGAAATAGATATCTACATGTCTTCTTTTTATGCCCCAGTGGCTGTGGTAATCACTAAATTTGACATTTAGGCTATACCATTTTTTTTGACAGACAGTTTTTTTCGTTCCAAAATTTTAAATATTTTTTTTTTCTCAAAAACCGATAATGTTAGGTATAGAGATAGAGTGTTTGATATCAAAATTCATAATATTTTTACAGAGAATTAAATATGTAATAAATTATATTTGTATTAGGGTACTCATTTAGGGTTATTAATAGAGTACTCATTTAAAATAAAAAAGTTGCTATCAACTTCCGGTATTTCCGAAAGTGCCGCTATATTGAAAATATTTTAATCGATAGATCTCGTTGTGAAACAATGATGTGCAAAAAACCTCTGATATCAATATTGTAGTTCTCTAGAAAATTCTAATGCACGCTCAGCCTGAGACACCATGTATATCTAATTTTGCCAATTTATTTGCCGAGAAAATTACTCCAGATGACACTGATATGTTTTAAATAAAATTTGCCATTAGAATTTACGAAGAACCAATGTAAAACGTTGGGACAATTACAAATTATTAACAAAAACATGGAACTCGTATACCTAAGAATTATGAAAATTTCTCTTACTTTATCATCTTGAGTGGGTTTTAGATATTCTTCTAACAACTCTTTCCAAAATATTTCTTCTTTCCTTTCCAGATAAGCGACATTTCCCTTGATCAAATCGCGGTGATAAAACCAGCTGTTATTATGGAGATTCTCTGAAGGAGCTTGAAATGATTGGCTGTCATCATAATGATCATAGTTATCGCACTCGCTCGGTTCTGGAAGGACGGACACTACAGAAGCTCTAGGACCTAGAAAACATTATACTGTTTGACGAAAACGTTGCAAAGACCATAATTCTAATTCTATTTATTGTAGAAATATATAATCATATCTTAATAATAATTATAACTAATATTATTGAATATCACTGTAAAGTGGAGTCTAAGCGAAGAATCCTAAACAGAAGTTGGTATATTTTTCGTTTCATTTTCATAGAAAAAAAACTTTTTACATGAATTCTAGAAGTCGATCTTATATGAGTAAAACCATTTTTTTTATTATTCTTGATTTTTTTAAAGGGTTAAAATAAATATTAGACGTAGAAAAATGTTTATTATAATAATTTAATAGTCTTTCTTTCTAATGCAATGAACTTAATTTTTTGTCTGCTACTTTACATTTCATTAATTAAAAATTGTGTAAATTAAATAAAACCTGCAGAGAATTTTAAAAATTCCGACGATTCTAAGATTTTTCTAAAACATACTATATTTTTAGGTCACCCTGTGGATGGTTTGTAATGAGCCAACCACTTTCTTTTATTAAAATTTAAAATTGTTCTGTTTATACATTATTACGGTATATAAAAATCATTTATTCGTCTTTTGGATTAAAAATGCTGAGAAGAAAACCTCATGTCCAACCGCTTCCATAAGCTCGTTCCACTGTGTCCCGCATCCCGCATCTAGGGTTGGAACCTTATTTTTCACAATAATTATTTACTCATTTTACTACAGCCGTAATATATTATATTTAGCTTAGATGATATGTTATCTTCTTTTTTTATTTCAGTAGTATACATAAAAGTTTTTAAAATAGTGTATTTTCTTCTACATAAATTTTCCTACATACTCAAAAACCGACAACACTGTTTGCCGTTTTTTATTTTGTCCCTCTGTCTGTCAACCGGTCATTTGTATTTATCTCTGTTGCATGCGTTAAAATACAGACCACGTAGATAAAGTGCCTAGGATAGTATAATATTCTTTGCAAACCTGTGGCAATATGCACATTAAATAATTAATATGTATCTACAAGACTTAAATACACTTAACAACATTTACGGAAATATATGAAATCTTTAAAATATACAATGATTAGGGAATAAAGCCTGATAAAAAATGTACCTTCTACAATTGGTGTTCTTGTTTTGGAAATGTTGGATGGATTAATTGTCAGTGATTCTGGATGTAGGCTATTATTTTCTAGACAATCGATTCTTCTTTCTATTTGGTATGCTCGATGCTCTATGTTAGATAAGGAGTTGTTGATCATTATTAAGAGATTCGAGTTATTGCAACAGTCAGCAAAAAAGTCTCTTATTTTATAAATGGAAGATAGAATAATGGATAAATTGGTTTCCTTCTCTTCTTCTTCTTCTTCTGTATTTTCTTCTGGATTAGTCTAAATATAACACGTAGGAAATTAGTTTAGTCCCTAACCGGCAAAAACATACTTACTGGTTTTACTTCAACGGTAACTTCCCTAGTTCCCCAACTTACATTGTTCATATTGAATACTGAATAAATAACTAAAAGCATATACATACTGGGAACAGTGATTAAATATATTACTCCATAAACTAAACAAACCAATTCTTTAGGATGTAACATTGCGGCAATTACATATTGACCTGTATAAAATATATCGTTTAAAAAAGGATAAACATTATTACTTTTATTACCCATTATAATGAGGAAAAAAAGAGATGTTGGCACTAAGAGTCCATCACTTATTATTTGTATAGCAACTCCAATGAGAACAGCAATCATAACTAATCCATAAAAACTACTTACAATTCCTGCAACTGTTAACTAAAATACCAATAACAGTAAATGTAAAAATATATTTATATAAGAAATTATCAAATGTTTAGGTACTTTTTAATATGGAAGTACTTAAGCACTTTAAAATTGTACATATACTTAATATACTCCAATTAGTTGAGACAAATCTAGCAACGAATTTGTTAATGTCAAAGGAGTTGTTCATTTATACGTAAGTTAATAAAGAAGTTGATAAATTCATTGTATCGTTAATGACTTTTATTTTAACACTTTAAAGCTTCATCCAGAACTTCGCAATTAGTGGAATAAATTAGTCGTTTCAATTACACTTTATGCTTTTTAGTTTACGATCATTTACAATGTTTAAAAAACAGAATTAAAAATAATAGAATATCCTAGCAACAGCTTGCTTTAGTCAGTTGTATCAATAGAGAAAGCCTAATATTTAGCTTATAAAACAATCAACCACAATCTTTTTATAGACCACAATTGATTTTTAACCACAATTTCTCTTGACGGAAGATAATCAAATGCCAAAATGACATTTCTCGCAAATTTTGAAGTATAATTAGTGGAAAAGTTAAAAGTTTGATTACTTTTTCTACTAAAGCTTCATTCAGAACCTCCCAATTAGTGGAATAAATTAGTGGTTTCAATTACACTTTATCCTTTTTAGTTTACGATCATTCACAATGACTAAAAAACACAATTAAAATTAATAAAATATCCTAGCAACAGCTTGCGGTTGTCTGTTGTATCCATAAAGAAAGCATAATATTTAGCTTATAAAACAATAAAGTTTTGATTTCTAACTAAAATTTTTCTTGACGGGTGATAATCAAAGGCCAAAATGACATTCCTCGCAAATTTTGAAGTATAATTAGTGGAAAAGTCAAAAGTTTGTTAACTTTTTCCACTAATTGAAAATTACTACCACTAATTATGACGTTCTGAAAACGTAACAAACCAACTTCTACGACTAATTGAAACTACTAATTTATTCCACTGATTTCGAGGTTTTGAATGAAGCTTTACTGAAAATGTCTACCACTAATTTTGACGTTCTGAATGCTTATATTGAAATTAAAAGAACAAACTTCTACGCTAATTGAAACTACTAATTTATTCCCCTAAATGCGAGGTTCTGAATGAAGCTTAACTGCCACGTCATGACAGCGGTCTCCTCAATTACGCCATTTCCCTAAGAGTGGCCTGTTCCATTTAGCGCCATCATTATAGTTTTTATGAACACAAAAATGATTGTAATATGCAATACGATGTAAAATAAACCAAGGACGTCTGACTGATTCCTTACCAAATGAATGTCAGTCACTAGTTCACTAGTGTCTGACGTGACCCCACTGACACTTCCTAAATAATGCACGTGGCAGTTAAAGTGTTAATGTTCAGCATACATGATACAAGACATAAATTTTCTTGTATTGTATCATTACTGCCACCGTTATAATTATTGTAGAAAGATTTGTTTTTGACAGAGAACCGAATTTTGTAACTTTTCTAGTATTTAATATCCATCAAGAGTCAATATTTCTTTTTTTACTAGAAATTCTTCTTACTATTTGTTCTTTCAGAAGGTTTAAATATTACGTGATATCTAAGTTTTTCTTCTTTCATATTTACAGATGCTTTTATATTTTTGTTTCCCTTATACCTAGATTCGAAGTTTTTACATTTGTATGTATTTTGGTTTTCGTACCTGTGTTTGAGATTCGCAAAAGACACAAGTGAGAACAAATATTGCTACTGGAATACTGTTATACACTAACGAATTCCACTGCGACAAATTAAAAACGGTAACCAGAGCTCCTATAAGCATAAGAAATATTGTACCGGGGCCTATAATTGTGGTCACTAACAACAAATACTGAAAAAAGATATATTTCATTTTTTGTTCTTCTTTATACATTTTACAAATATAATTACCTGATAATAGATATATGGAGTCGAAATATTATCATTAATCTTAGTAACATGTTTTGAATTTTCTAACAAGTCTAAAACATTGGCCATTGTAGAAGGCATCCATCTTCTTCTCTGGATATAAAAATCATTAAAAGATTCTGGGCAGTGTGTATAAGCATCCGAAGCAGCAGTATATTCGACTTTATAGCCCCTTTGGAGAAGGAGAGTGCATAACCACCGGTCTTCACCCTGGTCATATTGAACGTAGTGTCGTGCTTCTTGAGATTTGGTGTTATATCTTGCCAAGACGTTGTGGTCCATAAGAGCACTTGCTCTAAACAGCGAAAAACAACCGGGTGAACACAGGACGCAGCCAAATACATGCTCTGTAGCTTTTTGCATCCAGTGACCTATTGCGTACTCAAATTTTTGGTACCATGCCATAACTCCAGAACCTGAAACCCGGGACATTTCTAAACGGAGTTATCAAAGTATGTTTTTGTAAAGATTTTATAATTTATTAAATACTTTTTTTTACTTCTTCTGTTAAGAAATAATCACATTTTTTGTTTTATAGATGATTTCAAAATAATATTTTACCCATGGGATGAATTCTTCCACACGTCGCTCCTAATATAGGATTCTTTTTCATATATTGTACAAGTAAATGGACAGCTTTTGGTTGAAAGTCAATATCTCCATCTAAAGCAAGTATGTAAGTATTTTTTGACCTTGCCGTAGCCTTTTCCTCTGTCAGATTTTCATTATCCAATAGTCTAAAATTTTCCACTATTTAATCAGATCTAATTGGACTCACACTGGCTTTAATTTTGAATTTATTTATAGCGTTTCGGTTATATGTACCAGTGATCGACGTTGTGTAAAAGTTCAAAATTAAAGCCAATGTCAGTCCATGAAGATATTTGGTTTCATAATTCAAATCTTATATCATAATTGAATACACATACTTATGACCCAATAGATAATACATATACATCACTTGCGACCATCTTTTCTTTGGTCTTATTTTAGCCTTGTCTTTTAAATGCACTATCAGTTTAGTTTTACCAGGTAACGTCCAGGTTAACCTACCGCCATATGGCGTAGGACATATAAGAGGAGGAGGTATGCGGACTGAAAATATACAGAGATGGAGATATGAGCATAATATAATGTAAGATACCGTATGATCGAAAACACGGCGAAGATGGCTGGGGAATGAAAATCAACGATAATTTTGGCGAGATCAATCTTTAGACGTCATTTACTAAAAATTGAAATAAAACTTGTCAAAAAATATCACTAATTACAGAAAGATCCAAAAATGATACCGCAGAGACCAGACACACAAATCTATTTCCAAAAAAATATATTTATTAATTACAACCTTCTTAAGCCAAATGGCAGTAAGCGCTAGTAAATGCCGTCTAGGACTTGACCTCGCTAAAATTATCATCGATTGTCAATCCCCAGCCGTCTTTGACGCTATTTTTTTTTCGATCGTATAATATATATATATATATATATATATGCACCCTGGTGTTCATGACGAAAAGAGTTACCAAACTGCTGAAAAATGTATCTTTATTACGTTATGAACGACTAAAATATGTATCAAAAACAATGCTAAACAATTCTTATCTTAACTTTCAAAGGAAATAATCTTATTTCTAATAAAGTGCGTATCCTCCGCGGTTTCTACGTACTTCTGCACACTGATTTGCCATAGACTGAATGATGCTCCGAATAATCTCTTGGGGAAAGGCGTTCCACTCTTCTTGAATATTTCCAAAGTTTGAAGATCTGGTGCTTGTGGACGACTTTGTAGTCTTCTCTTTAATAGGTCACAACGGTAGTCAATAAGATTGAGATCAGGGCTATTAGCAGGTCAACCCATAATTGACTTGCTAAGAGCCTGGCATTATCCAGGATGAGCAGCAAATTGAATAACATATGGTTCAAGAATCTCATCTCTGTATCGTTCAGCATTAATTATGCCGTCTAGACCTGTAAGTCCGTACGCCCATTTAAAGTTATACCTTACCATACCATGAAGGAATCTTTGAATCATCAAAATAAATAGCTTCTCTGACTGTTGTTACCAGATACCGTACATTCGGTCTTCTGTATACTCTCCGCCGGGCATTATTATGACTTAGTCGAAAACGTTACTTGTCAGAAGAACATGCTTCCACTGATCCACGCCCCAGTGAAGACGTTCTTGAGCAAAGATCCTTTATGCCCTACGATGATTAGCAGTTAAATGCGACACAACAGCTGCTCGCCTTGATCGAATGTTAACTTCATACAGCCTATTTCTTATAGTCTGAGTTGAAATTCGACTTCCTGTGGCGGTCGAGCGAAGAGCGGCTTGAACAAGATACCGAGCTTCCGGCCTCGTTGTCCACCTTATTCGTTAAGGATATGGTTTGCGAATAACAAAACCATAGTATCTGTGTCGATTCCATAGTCTGGAAATGACCGAATGTGTAATATGAAAAAGCTGCGGCACGTATCGTTGAGACCGACTCTGATGACTTCTTCAATATTTAAACGCCTTCTAACACCGTTTGGTGTTCCCAAACAAAAAATTTGCCATATTTAACACCAATTTTGACAATCAAGAAGGCAAAATCACACTAAATAAGAAACTGATTTTTTATGGAATTTATGCGTCTTCGATTGCGTCTGTATTGTTATTTTTTTATCACGGGAAAGAATTTCGTTTTTGTATGATTTATGCATGAAAAAATACAAAATTGTTCTGATAATATGCTGCTATAAATAGGTATACGGAGATCGGTCTATAACATAGTAAATACAGATACACATATATGTGATCCCTAATTCGTTTTGGTTAGTTTATTTAAACATTTTTTTATGATAATAATAAACCACATGTTGCTACATTATTATGTTGCTTGTTGTTGTAGTTGCTACGTTATTTCCAGATGTAGAATGTAGAATAGTGGAAGGGGGTTAAGCACCGCGACCTTAAAGGTGATCAACAACAACAAAGTTAATCACCGCGACCTTAACAACTCATCATACAGTCTATAACTCATTATACATGGAGATCTTGCTGTTTTAGAAGGGACAGGGTATTTACCATCCTCCTCTGACAACAGATGTTCATCCTCCAAGGAGTGGACATCTACCTCCTACGAGGGTAGACACCCTTCCACGGTTGGGATTTATCTCTCCGTGTTCTTCACAGTCGAGGATCTGGTCCCCGGCTGAGGTATTCGTGAGCAGGAGGCTAGTGGATCTCTCCCCATTTTCTCCACCTCTCTAACTTGGTCTCCCCTTAGACCTGACATCGGTGTTGTCCCGAATCTATAATATATATCTAATCCCTCTTTATCTATTGCCTCCTTGGATTTGAGGTCGCCAACTCGATGGCCTTACATTGGAGTTCTGAGCCTGAATAAAGCTCAGCAGATAGGTAGTGTCTTTTCCCTTGCCGAGGAGGTAGAAAGACCGTGATGGTCGCCACTTTTGGGATAAAAAATGTCTATACCTATGTGGCCAATTATCTTTTTTGGGATGTTTTCTCTCTTCACTGCGACCAGTCCCGGCCACTGCCAATTCTTAAGATTAGGTGCCATTTCCAAAAAACAATCCGCTGATTCTGATATACAATCTAGCAGGAGCATGCCCACCCGAATGTGTATCCCAGCAAAACGCAACTGATCCACATTTTGTGGATCGTTGCGTGGTTTTGTTCATTAGAATTATTTGCAGTTCTACTTAATACTTCAACATGTAAAATACAAACTTACCTGTAGTTTCATGGACTTCTGTCGCCGCTTCTTCAATGACGGATAGTAAAGTTTCGACGTATTTGTTGATATGAGGATCGTTATCGTTTTTATCTTTTCTTATAAAGGCATCGTCGAAGAATATGTGAGCTAAAAATTAATTTAAAAAAAAAATAAAAAAATAGTATTGCTTTTTTTATTGTATGGAGCGACCAACAATGTTTGAAGTAGTTGACGATAATGTGATAAGGATTTTAGGATTAGTGGTTGGGTACTGATGCTAAATAAAATTGTCGATCGAATGATTTTAGGAAATTATGTTAATTCATTAACATCATTTTTTGACTTTTTCACTAAACCAAACCAATGAAGGCCTCGTAAACAAACATAACATAAACAATTTTATATACTAATTCATTATAATAAAATTAAGTAATAAAGTAGTGCAGATTGAGTGAAAAGTTTTGTTCTTAAATATCTACTCTACATATTATAAACGCGTGTTCAAATATTAATTTTGTGGAATATATATCAACATAAAACGAGATGTAATTAACGAAATATCATCGTTAACAACAGCTATTTTAGAAACGTCTATGTTTACTTATTTACTGAGATTTATGAAAAAAAAATCCTTTGCCTCGGTTACAGATACCGCCACGTTTTGGAAATAGCTCAGAACGAAACACAATTGAACGAGGCAACAGGAAACGCCAAAAATCACCCCACGCCCTCCTCACGAGTAGTTTTCAGGCGCTTTTAAGAATGGAACGTAGGTCGAGGCAAACCGAAGTGGGCCAAGACAACTGGAAATAAATCGAAATGCGATAAAGTTGGGCGACGAAATGCGATCTTGACCTGTTTCGAAGAGTTCTCCGCATAGTGTAGATGCTGTTCAATAAGTGAAGCAAGCCTATACCATCTGATTTTAGCGCCTGTGATAACAGCCAATAAATATTCACTAAAACCAGAATAGCCTATTATTTCCATCATTGTTAATCGCTCAGTCGTAATTCTACTTACTTTCCCATTCGTAATAGTTGTCTAAGGGGTACCGCAAATAATTTTTGACAATTCTATGCAGGGCCTGGTCTTCGTCCATTCTAAAAATAGTTTTTAGAAATTCCAACATTTCTTCCCTGATTTCATGCCACATAGTACCGCAGGCATATATTCTGGTAATTTTGTCTTCATCAATTTCTGATATTTTATTCATTGTATCTTCTGAAAAGTCTCAATGTATATATCCTGGTATATTTGTATCAGATATATAGATCTATAGATCTTTTTACCACTTCGTTTTGTTATTCGATCTACCACCTTTCTTCTGTTTAGAGCAAGGGATTGATCAATTAGAAATGCATCGTACATGGGTCGCATAAAGAGCTGTTCTGTAGGAGATAGTTTGATATTCTTGTTTACCCAAATGTGTTTCGTAATCCACAACTGAATAGAAACGGAAAAATTAAACCAATCAATACCTTTAATCAATGAATCCTTTATAATATTATAAAGGGTGAGTCTTAAATAAGTACAAATATTTTCAGGGCTGAGATCTCGATAAAAGAAACATATCTTCTCTTTACCATTTTTCAGATAAGTCCAAAATAACCGAGTTATTTAAGTTTGAAAATTAAAAAAAAAATGATTTTTTTGAAAAAATTTTGAGAGTCATCGGATTTTTTCTGTATTGGCATCCCTTTTATGGCCGTAACCATAGAGTAAAGCCGTAACTATGGTAATATCTGAGATTAAGAAATTATACCGTGGGAAAATTTGCGGTGATCAGGCAGTTCTAAAAAGTTTTAGAAAAATATACAGGGAAATTTTTAAAGAAAATGCACGATTTTCAACATCTTTTTTTAGCGAAAAAAACCTCATAGACGTGTTCCTGGGATCGAAATATACCACCCCTGAAAATATTTGCACTTATTTAAGACTCACCCTGTATAATACTAGTAAAACTACTACTAATAAATAAAATAATAATTTTCCAGAAAAAAACTTTTATATTATATTTATTTATTTGAATGGTTTAAAAAACATGAGAGTCTACAGGCACAAACATAGTGGGGCGTCTGGTTGTGATGCTCACTGCGATGCATCCTATGAGCACGTTTTAAGCACTGTTTTAAAACGGCGAGATAGTGCGCGTAGGGTGCATCGCGGCGAGCATCGCATCGAGATACATCACTATGTAGGTACTCTTCACTGAAAACAATATATTTTTATGAAGCTACGTACGCATGTAATCAAATAATCTGATCATAAGAATGTTTTGTTTTCATATTTGCAACTAAGTCGACGAACTTAGTCGACGGCTAGTCGACCGACTAAAAATTACCTATATCAGCGTATAGCCTTCATAGCCTTAATGTTAAAACAAAAGGATATTTTAAATTCATATCTTTTGACTTTTTGCTGTTAAAAATAAAATAAGCAAATAAATAAAATATATAGGGTGATTCACGGCGATGCGCGATGGTACGTTAGACGTTTATGGAGAACCGGTGATTTATTTTTGAAAATTTGGATTCTTGGAAACATCTTTCTTATTATAAATGGAACACCCAGTATATTATTACATTTTTGAAAACTACTTTCATATCCCAAAATTTTTCTATCATACTAGTCTATACCTATCTCTAAAAGTTTTTGAGATAAAACATGTGTAAAATTGATAAAATGATGATCTTCTATCTTAATAAACATTGGTAAAATAACAATGCTTTTGACGTTTTTATAACGGAAATATTTTTTTTGACTTACCTGATATGTCGATTTTCCTTAATCTAAGGTTAAATAAAAGAACAAAATCAAGTAGAATTTGTGAATAAAAACTCAAAAAATAATGAAAATATTTAGAAAAAGGAAACGTAAACGTCAATGTCAGCCAAGTGTTAGAGTTCAATTGGATTTACCACAGATTATCAATTTGAACGATTTGAACCACAGTCGATTCCAGTCTAGAGATTTTCGTTTTTTAAGCTTCCCATACTGAAGTCCGCCATATTGGGAAATTTTAAATGAATACAAGTATAAATGTAAAAATTTGAAATATGAAAGTAATTTCGAAAAAATGTAATAGTATACCGGGTGTTCCATTTATAATAACAAAGATGTCAAAATGAAAACAAATTATTATGTTTACACTCTTAGTATGAAACGAAAGCACTGAAACGTTCAAAATAGTTTAGACAGATGGAGCAGGTGTCTTTATGCAAGAATACAAAAAAAATAAAAAAAATCCTATCACAGCTTCTCCATAAACGTTCAACGTACCATGGCCGTTTATATTCTATTTTATAGTTTATTTATATAACATTGTGTAGAGGTAATAAATTTTATTATATTTTAAGATATTATTGTTTATGAACCCATTTTTATGTAATATGTATTATTAAGCATTTTATATTTTTATATCGCGAGTTCTGGCGTATTAAATTAGATATTTATAAAAAATTATTAATAAAAAATATGTTTTTATTATTTTAATTATATTTTTGACATATTATATATTTGTCAAAAATTGTAGGTGTAGGATCTATTTTAGATAGAGGACTGAGATGATAGAGAACTCTTAGTACACCTTTTGGTATATTTTAGTAACATCAGAATTTCGAGGTTATGATTCTATGGTTTGAAATAAATATGTGTCCTCCAATGAAAATGCGAGTTACTAACTCTAAAAATGCTAATTCTGAGCTGGCAAATGAGCTAGATGCTTTACCTAGACCGTTATTCAGAAGCTACAAACCTATCGATGAAAATATGCATGAAAATTTACTTCCTACGTACACAGTCTGGTACACAGGTGGCACACATCATTGCACGCCACAAACTTATTTTTCATCGGGGGAGATTATCACGAGATAGCGGGATTAATTTTTTTACAACTTCAAAACATCTACCCCGAATGGGGTAGCTGTGATAACACTGCCGTTACCAATTTTCCTCTCGCTATGACTTGCATTTTTACTCCCAACGCGCGTAACGAAGTGTCACTTCAATAATTAACAATTATTGTGTCATGCTTGCTATAATCATTGTTCCTTACCTGCGATAATAACCATATCAGCCATATCGAATTCTCGAATTCTATTTCGATAGATGGAGATATATTGAAAAATAAATAAGTTACTTCTTTTGGGAAACTGCCGAAGAAAAAGCAATTATCCTTTTCGAAGGCACTGGTTATAATAATCAAAATTGTTACAAGTACAGGAACCGTAACCGCTATTGGATACGAAAAACACGTTTCTGTAAGAGAAATAATGAAAGTATACATTAAAAAAAAAGGAAAAAGGATTTAAAATCTATAGTCATATACCTTGAATCATAATTTTACAGGCAAATCTTCCAAGAAAATAGCAGGCGTATGTTGATGAAATATTGACAAGCCATATAATCAGCTGGTAAGTTACATTGTTGATAATTTTCTGGATTTGTGCCGATTGTGTGACCTACAATGTCCATCTACTATTCTTAACTAATTCTAAAATATGATCGAAAAAATAAACGGAGTCAACGATGGCTATAAAATAAAGCTCGCTGTCATTTTATATGAGAAATGTCATCGATGTTCATTTCCAAGCCAACTGGACGCCGTTTTTTTTTTCGATCATACGGTATCTTCTGTTTTACAACTTAACAAGTATAGCTAGAGACGTGAGAAATATAAAATAAGAGACGCCCCTGGATGCGCAGTGGACAGCCCACAAATTTGCTTTAATCAGATTGGTCGTAGCGTAACTGCATCTCTCTTCCGCCTAATGCGTTCTCTGTCTATCGTGTGCGCGACCGGTGCTATCCCCAAGTCTCTTCCTATATTTGTTAAACTGTACTTAATATTTTCCTTCAGGGAAGGAAAGTACAATTAAATTTGGTGAATTTATATGTTTTTTTATTTGATTTTTATAATTTACCAGATACATTTTAGTATATATTATGTCGCAGACGTATCCAATAACTCGGCATTTTGAAAAAAAACTAGGCATATTACAAAACGCCGCCATTTTTGACGTTAGAAGGATATTTTACAGAGTCTATCTGTTTTCAGTCGCTTTGCAAAATGTCTAAATGAAAACAGAGAGAGATTAAATGAGATACTAACATTAAGGTTTTAATATATGTATTTTGTTTTTAAAATTATGTTACTTATAATTATTATAATGCTTTTGCTCATCGCTGACTAAACTTTGATAATTTTTTAATCTGCCTGGTCACGACTTGGCATTTGGCATTTTGTAAAACGACGGAAAACTATTAGGCACTCTTTTTGCAGAACTCTACAGAAAATATCGTCATTGTTTAATGCCTAATTCTGATTAGGCTTTTTGCAAAGTGAGTGAAAATAGATAAGCTTTTTGTAAAAATGTCTTCTTTTGTTTAAAGAGCCGGCGTTTTATAATATGCCTAGTCTGTTTGCAAAAAGCCGGATTATTCTCTGCGCCTACTACATATTATAGTATATTATTCTTTATACTTTCATTTTCCTTCCTTCATTTTAAATGAAGATTATACAGGGTGAGTCTCAATCGTCAATTATCGTTATACAGGGTGGTCCGAACTGTATTCCGGAAACTTTGGCAGCATATTCTGCAGATAAAAATAAGTAAAAAAGTTCGTATAAATGTATGTTCTAAAATGTTTAGTTTTGGAGATACCGGGTGTAGAAGTTTCATTTTTATTTCGATTTTTTCGAAATAATTTCAGAAGTAACATCAATATTTGGATGAAAATTGGTGTCTGACATTTTTTTAGAGGGGAAAAATCTTCAAAAGTCTAACGGCAGGTAGTGTGGGATTTTTGCCCAGTAAAAAACCGCCTATAGTGTTTTTCTGCCAGTTTTTTGACATGAGAAATTTGATTTTGATGTCAATAGGGGGTGACACCTATATGTGTTTTAACGATTTTGAAGAGTAATAACTTTTCGTCCGTGCTTGTATAAAACTACTGAGTCAAAAAATATATATTTCCGTAATTTTCTACGTAAAAAGTGTCTCTTGGTAAAAATCGCTACGAGCAATCGTTCTCAAGATATTTAGAATGGAAATAGTCAATACATGTCATTATTGACAAAAAATAAACATGCTGAGTAGATAGAGTTATTTGAATGAAATGATAAATTTCTGAACTTTTAATTTTTTAAAATTAACCATTTTAATTTTTCTTGATGATGATAAAACAGTTTCTTTGGCACAAAAACAATTTAAATTTTATTATTTCAGTCTGATAACTATTCAGTTAAAATGTTTAATTTATGTCAATGATGATTATAAGTATTGATAATTTCGATTCTAAATATCTCGAGAACCATGAGTCGTAGCGATTTTTACCAAGAGACTTTTTTTTACGTAAAAAAACGTCGCAAATGCATATTTTTTGCCCAGTTGTTTTATGCAGGTACGGATGAAAAGTTATTATTCTTCAAACCAGTTAAAAAATATGTAGGTGGCGCCCTCTACAAGTAGGAGTCATATTGACACCAAAATCAAATTTCCCATGTCAAAAAACTAGCAGACACCAATTCTCATCCAAATATTGACGTTACTTCGGAAATTATTTGGAAAACATTGAAATAAAAATGAAACTTCTACACCCTGTATCACCGAAACTAACCATTTTAGAGCATACAATTACAGGTACTTTTTTACTTATTTTTATTTTCAGAATATGATGCCGAAGTTTCCGGAATACAGTTCGGACCACCCTGTAGAACGGTACATATTTTTGTGTTGGAACAAACCTCTTTTATTATCTTAAATCACTCACCTCGACAACATCCATTCCATGTTGCGAAAAAGCATCTGTAAATTTTCTAAATATAAATAGTGCATCACCTTCTAATTGTAAAATAGTTAGTGTTGTAGCAAAGAATAGCACACACTTCAAAACAGATATGATCGCATAACTGAAATATTTATCTGTGCGAAAGTCCTTTTTTGCTTTCGCAATTTTTTTAATAAAATCTATCTGAAAAATATATATATATTATTGAGAAACTAATAATTTTAAAATAATTTACGGCTGTTTTTTCAGTAACAAAATTTTCCCACCATCCGAAAGATATACAAATGGAGGCAATAGGGATCAGCCATAGAACAGGTTTATGTTGGTTGATAGGCCATATCAATAGAGCCGATATTTGTGCAATAAATGCCAATATATCCAATGTTATATTCAGGAATCGTTCTTTATCATAGGGCGGTCTTATATTTCTGAGAATGTTAACTAAAATTAATATATTTATAAATCATCATATAGTAACATATTTGCTGAACGTTGGTTGCTAAATATCGTCGGACTACAAGCAAAATACACTAAGACCGATGTTTAAATTTTTGACCTATTTCATTTTACCAGATTTCTTCAAAAATATAGAACTGTACTCTGGAAAAATCCACCAATAAGTCTTCTAAGAACGATTAGTTTCATTTTTAAATTATTATAAAAAATAATTAAAATTTTAAATTATAAAAAACAATCAACCAATCACGTCTTGTCTCGGTCGATTTCGATCGGTTTCGGAGTCTGTGGCCGAGACAAGCCAAAATTCCCCGCAACATAAAAATAGCATTGCGTTTACTTCTGAAAGTATTTCGAGAAATGCTTCGCGAAATGTTTCACGAAATATTTCCAGAATATTTCGAGAAACATGTCGGGCATAGTGTAGAGGGTGTTTAACAATATTATTTGATTTACAATACCTTTTTTATATAACACAAAAACTAACTGGTATTCCATATTTGATTATTTTTTCTAGACACTTTTTTACGTAATGTTATATTTTACCTAGACTAGGAATAATGCAGAAACCATTGGTGAGCATCGCTGCTTGAATGACATCCAATTCCGGTAGTATTTTAAAAACCAACAACGCACTTCCGAAGGCAGGCAACGATTCTGTTACAACCAAACAAATAAAATCCCACATCTTTGGAAGTTTCCATGTTTTGAACATTAATATATAAACAGATCTGAAATAAATTTATTAATACATTATGTTGTTAATAACAAAAGTGTGTATAGATTTTATAAGCAAAATAAATTTTTCTCAGTATGTTATAAAAACTAAACCTTTTATTATATTCATAAAAAAATATATCACCCAGATATCACCTTAAACGCCTCATAAAAACATGTAAACTAACTTATTACGTGATTATAATAACATGAAACTACATAATTATATCACAAAGGTGATATCAGAAATCGTTAAGGTTGATCACATGTAAAATATCTATTCTAAGATCCTAACGACAAGAAACCATCAAGATCTTTGATCAAGATCAAGAAACTCCCGCATTGACTGTCATTCCATCCCAGCACACTACAAAGTAGCTAAAATTTTGCCAGTAAACGGCCACAAGCAAACGGGCGGGAGTCTTGTCAAAAAAATCGTTTTTATTATCGATATTTTGACGGAAATAATTGTCGGTAGTGATTTTTTTTTATATAATTATCTTCCTAGGGGTCTGTTATGTCTATTAAAGTGGTAAGTTTACCGAAATAGTTACTTATTTACCTTATTGTGATCATTTTCTTATCGAGTTTTTAACATAATATACGGCGACGCGTCATTGTCTTTGTTTCGTGTCAGGATTTCATGGCAACGCGATATTATTTCGATGCACAGCAGACAACATTGATAGAAAATTTCAATACGGCGCGGCGGCGGCGGAGAAGTCATGCCGCTTACTCAACATCGTTTGAGCGACATTGCCCGGATTTTTTATGATCACCGCTGTAAATCATCGATGACTCTATATTATGTCAACATTTTATGTAATCTAGATGTTAATTTAATTTATGTTTTGCCTTGTAGAGATGCTTATTTGTATGGTTATACCAAAATTATACACGAGAAAAATGGTATCTAAGCTAAAGGATAGTGTTAGTGTTTCTACTAGATAATACCTAACTAAAAGGTAATAAAAACATATAACTATTTAACCTTAGAACTAAATAAGAATAGAGTTTTACACATATTGTTTACTTAAATGAGTGAATATAATTTTAATTGTAATAAAATAAGTATTTTGTTTTTTTTAGGTTAGAGTAAAGTTTCATTATGAAAATATTGAAAATGTCAACATTTTAATGCAATCTCGATGTTAATTTAATTTGTTTTCCCTTGTAGGGGACTTATTTGCATGGATATGCAGAAGAAAAATGGTATCTAAGCTAGAGGATGGGCATTTTCTTCGAGACAATAAAAGGTAATAAAGAATAATTGACCATAAAACTAATTATAGAGAGTTTTATAGATTATACCAAATAAACTGAAATAAACTTTTAATAACGTGATTAAGCATGACCGGCACAACATTTTTTATATATTTGTTATAAACATTTATTATTTATATCATCGGAACTCACCTCCTTAACAGCACTGAAGGGACTATTATTATTATCGCGTGCATTTTGTACACTTCGCACTATAAGCTGCTTAATAAAGAACAATTTTTGGAATACGACGCCTGCTAGTAAAAAATTCAGGCGTAGAATACCACTACACATTCACTTAAACCAAAACCTCGTAATACTATGATAATATGATAATACTCGTAATGTATAATGTAATACAAAACTAAACTGCCAAAACAAGGAACAAATCAAAATATCTCTAAATAAATATAGCAACTTGACATTTTTTAGAGCAGAGCCAGTGCCGTCTCTAATAGATCAGCCACGGCGCGGACTTTTGTTTACTACTTCTATCAGCTGTTAGATATTCGGTTAAATTCTGTATTCATATTTTGTCGGTTGATTTTTAGTATTATTTGTTATTGTAGTGCAAAAAACTAATTATTTTGGTGTTTAAGTGACATAAACTACTACTAGATATATGGTCACTCGCTGTTTCTCATAAAAAAACACGAATGTGCCATAAGTTTTTTTATTTATCATGATTTTTGTGTGTGTTTTTTAAGACTCTAACAATTCATCAATAAAGCTTAAGTGGAGTGTGTTTTTGGTACTATGCCTCATATTTGTTGGTCCTGGTTGCAAGGATAATTATACTGGTCAGCCTAAAGTGTCCGGAAAAGCAAGAAAAGCGCGTACGAGTTATAAATCAAGACAATTCCATTGAAAATATCTTTAATAAATTTAAAAATAATATTCTCCCAAGCTGGTATTAAAGAAAACTGGATAATTATGTTTATTTTATTCATATTGTGGAATCTCCACTCCCAAGTAATGTTGGTTTAGCTTCGATAGATTCAAACACGTGGGTAGGTATTATGATCTAGGGAAAAATAAACAATATGTGTGTTAAAGATCATGAAAAAGATTATTATTTTGAGTTTGGAACTTCAAAAAGATTTTTGTAAAGACAAGAATGATAGAGTTTAAAAGAAGAACGTGTTTTTGTTTGATAATATAATAATAAACATTATTTCTAAATTACAATATAAAATTGTGATAGAATAGTCAAAACAAATACAATAATAAACCTCTTACGTATTCATCTATGTGAAAACGAAAAAATACTGATACAAATAATATCTTTCTTTTTTCTTTGTATGATTTTAACAATTAATAATGTAATGTACAATTAATTAATATAATGTATGTAAACCATAATATATTTTTTGTTCAGTAATTTTTAATGAATAGTTGATTATTTATAATACCAAATTAAATATCAAATATTTAAAAGTGATGGCTGAATACAATATGAATAAAATAACAATAAAACTGGTATATTTGCAGTACAAAATTATGTTTTAAGGACAAAGGTTTTACTAAAAATAATAAGAAATTCATATTTCTTTGTTTTAATTGGTCTAATGTTATTTACATTTTATGTAAGAATTATAGCGTATCATCGAAAAAAAAAACGGCGTCTAGTTGGTTTGGATATGAACATCGATGACATTCCCTAAATAATTTTATATATGAAATGACAGCGATCTTCATTTCATAGCCATCGCTGACGACTTTTTTTTCGATGATATTGTATTATTTGCAAATATAATTTTTCGAACATTGATTCTTGCAAAATATACATATATAAATTTTGTGAATGCAAATAGTAATACATTACTAGTAGATATTGATTTTTTGTTAAATTAGATCGATTTTCAAACCCCAAAATTTAAAGTATATTTTATATTTTACCCATTCTCTAATATACCTATTCATTATATTGCTCTATACCTGTTCATTATAGTATATTGTAAACATATACTATAATATATTGTAAAACATTTGCTGCATTTGTATGGTTCATAGTGTATTTGCCAAAGTATTTATTACTATAAATGGGTATATAATATATTATATTTATTAACTGTATACTATGTATATTTCATGTAAACTATATCATTTTTAAAATACAAACCAAAAATCTGAGGAATAATTATATTTTCCATATTATACTCTATAACATAATTTATTAATCCGTAGTATCTAGCGTGACGTCATAAATCTCGCTTCGTGGCTGTTCTATTAGAGACGGCATTGGCAGAGCTACCACCAGAAAAGCCAGCGGGAAATTTAAATTTCATTTTCTGCTCTGAACATGTTTATGGCTGGCAACAATAACTTTAATAATCGCGTCCTCGAAGACGAAACAAAAAGTTTATTTGGTATAATTTATATTTATCTTCTTTAGTTAAAAGACTGAATATAATTTTAAATGTATATGTTTTGTTTTCTGTAGGTTAGTGTTAGTGTAAGTTTCATTATGCTATCAAGGAGGGAATTCTGGAAACACGTAAGAATGATAATAAACTAAGTTCACTGAATTAACTTTGCTAAAGCGGCATTAACAAAGGTAATAACGTACCGTATGATTGAGAAAAAACGGCGTCAGCGATGGCTATGGAATGAAGATCGCTGTCATTTTATATGTAAATTTATATGGGAAATGTCATCGATGTTCATTTCCCAGCCAACTGGACGCCGTTTTTTTTTCGATCATACGGTATTATTTTTATATACAGGGTGATTTTATTGGCGACACCAGCCATTTTATTGAAAAATCGCTTTTTATTCAAAATCTGAGTCAGATAGGTATAGAAAACCCTAATATTTACCACGTTTTCATGGACTTTTGAAATCGTTTTGAATCCAATCCTCTTCCCCGTTGTCATGCAGAGACAAAAATTAAACTGAAATCGAATTGAAATCGATTTGAACTGACAGCACAAAGACAGGCTATTTTACCATATCATATCTGTCAAAACTAATTGATACGTTTGTTTATGTTTATGTCTTCCTAACAATGAATAACTAACTCAGAAAGCGATAATTGCTTTCTGGGGTTTTATCCATTTTTCTTTCCTTTTTGCAAAACATAGCACCGAAAACTGGCAAAATGTCTAAACATAAACAAACCAAACTTTTAAAATTGAATTAATGCGCATGACCTTCATTTTTCAATTCGATTCCGATCCAGTCATCGTTTTCATGCAAGTCAAGTTAGTTTAAATCCCAATACGATCCCAGAAAAAGGTGAATCGACCTTGAGACTCAAAACGATTTCAATGCTTGTTTTCATGGGGGTGTCAATACCAAAACCGTATTCAAAACGATTTCAAAACACCATGAAAACTCCTAGTAATAGTTTGAAAGAGCATATTTAAATCTGCTTCGACTTATTTAAAAAAATACATTGTGTTTTATATGTTACTAGTTACTAGTGATTTTATTTTGTGAAGAAAATTGGCCTGAAGGGTTTATGCTGAAAGATATGGGGGCAAAAATGAATCTTCCCGATAAGCGTTCCTTTAAAAACCTACTTGTTCTATTTCTCAGAGCTGGTACTACTGGTATTGTGCTTTATGAAAAACCTAATACGAAACCTGTAGATGGAATTGAAGAAAATGAATTTGCCTTAATTGGCTCTTATGGAAAATCCATACATCTACAAGTCATCTTAAAATACCTCAATGAACTACTTCTTTGTTTTTCTTGATAAAATAAAATAATAAATACTTATTTATTAAACTATTATAGGTAAATTAAATAAAAGTAAACTGCTATACATTTAAATAAAGTGCATAAACTAATTTCGATTTTCAACGATATAATGTTATGGGTATCTATTTCTAAGAATGAGAGAAATATTAAGGTTTTATTTTTATATCGAAGCGGGGTTGATTTTGAGTTGACCAATTTGCCTAATTATTTTTTATCACAATTTAATATTCTATATTATTATTTATCTGTATAATTAAATACTTTTGAAAAAGTATTAACATTCTATTATTATTAGTAATTGTAATTATTAGTATTAGTAATTACAACTAAAATCGATACAATAAACAAAGAACAAAACTAAAAAAACGTATCTTTTGAGTGACGAGTATAGTTTGCTAAAAAAATCAAAGATGTTCAAATTGAGCACCTCCTTGTTGAATGCACAACAAACATCTTTTGCGCACAGAGTTACAACGATTTATAAGGCGAATTGGTTTAATAAGTCCAAAAGCTTGCCTAGTAGCCTTCTGCAATTCTTCTATCGTCCCAATGGTTCTTCCCTTATATATAAGGTCTTTTAATTTCCCCCATAAAAAAATCGAAAAGAGTTAAATCACAGAATCTAGCTGGCCAAGATATGTGCCCCTGGTTCCAATCCAATTCTCTCTAAATTCTCCATTTAATAGTTCAGTTGTAACCCTGGCGTTTTAATTGTAATTAGTAATACTAACCTAGAATGTTGATTTACCTTTTCAAAAGTTTTTAATTCTGCAGATAAATAATAATATAGAATATTAAATTGTGATAAAAAATAATTAGGCAACTAGGTCATAACACAAAATCAAGGCCCGCTTCGATACAAAGATAAAAAACCTAATATTTTCCTCATTCTTAGAAATAAATGCACATAACTTTATATCGTTGGAAAGGGTTATACGCCAGCATTTTTTTTAGTTCATAGCCAACTATGATTTCCATTTAAAAAATTATATTTTAATCATTTCTGACAAAAAGAGCAAGTATAGAAAAGAACTGATTAAGCCACTGAATTGTGCTTAAAAAAGTACCTTAAGAACGTTTTTACAGAATTTTATTATTTCGCGAAATACAAAAGTTAGGGGCAATTTTCCAAATGGTAAAAAAATCAAAAAGACCCCGTATCTCAGTTAACAGTGAAAATATCAAGAGGCGGTTTACGCCATTAAACGTATCTCAGAAATCGAGCCCATGACATCTATGTCGGTTTTGCTCTATCTAGTCAGGAAATAGGTTTTCTCTGTTAAAACAGACCAATTTCGACCACCCTGTACATTCCAAAATAATTTTAAATTATGCACATTGCCTTCCCTCATATACCCATAAAATATTATATTTATACAGCTATCCATTTTTGTATAATTAACCGAGGCGAATGAGGTGCGCAACCCTGTATATAAAATAAGTTATGGAGTTTTACGCAGAATCTAAAAATGGAGATACAAAAAGGACATAGAGCAAAAAGGACATAAAGCATCCTGTGTACTCCAAAAGAATTTAAAAAATATACCATATGTAATGTACCTATAACAGTTTATTACAAGTTACTAAGGATGTCTGAGGACAGATGTTCTGGAAACAAGCCTCAAGTAGTGAGGCCACAGTGCGTACTTCTAGGACATTCTTCGTATAATACGAAAAAATGTGCATTAAATGAATTACAATAACAATAATAAATACGTACCTTATAAAAGTTAAAACTTCTGGAACAAAGTAGGTAAACATAATTAGCCATATCCAAGTGGCTCTTTCAACAGCTGGAACCGTAAAATTGTATTGTCTTGTTGAGTCTAAAAATATAGTATCAATAATATTTTCTTCTTTATTTAAAAACTAACTAATTTAATAAAAAAAATAGAATTACCAAAAGATTTATTACAATAGGGTCGGGTTATGTCAATCTTAATTTGAGAAGTCATAAGAAGCAAGGTAATCTTGGACGTTACAGCACTGCCTAGTATTAGTAAAAAAACTAGAATAATAGTAATTATTTTGATTATTACTACTCCATAATCGATAAATTTTGATTCGGCCATTGAACCGGTTTTTTCTTTGCGATGAATTACTTTGAATGTGTTCCATGGTTTAACTACTTCTCCTTGTCTGTAATGTAGAAAAGTAAACATATAGATACCGTGTGGTGCATCGGAACGCGGGACATAGGAAATCCCATGTAAATTTTGAAAATGTCAAATACATATTATCTCCCTAGATGATTTTATGCAAAAATTGTATTAGACTTTTTTGAAAGGGCGTTAAAGTTGTACTGTCGCGTCGTCTACAATGTGGTTTTATTTGGAATAGGCATCTAAAAGTTATTTGCAATACAAAACTGTTAAGGTGAGAATCTTTAGCATTCGACAGAGGTGTCAGTCAGAGTGTTTTCAGTCCATCTAAATTTCTGTTTTCAACGATGACTAAAGAATACAAGGACGAATAGCACCCGAGACCAAACTGTGACCATTCTTCCAAACAGTGCCGTGGCACATATTTTTCTTAACATAGCCGTTTGAAGCGATATTTATATTTTTAATCCATATATATTTTTTTTTCCCTTTCTTGGGTAAAAAAGAAAGGAAAAAAATATATATATGGATATAATTCTAAAGGTTTAAGAAAAAGAAAAAAAAATAAACTCTTATATTTTTAATAAATGTTTTTACTACGCCTATGGTGTATCAGGTGGTATCATACTAATTAATTACGAAAAAAACGTGTTAAAATGTTCATAAAAGGTACAAAACTAGTATCGATGTATAGCTCATATAAAGTACATATAATATCAGAAAAATAATTATCGAATTCAACAAAAAAAACGCTAAAAAGGTGGAGTGTGCTGTTTATTTCCCTATAAAACGTAACTCCTGGCTCTTTCTTATCATTGTGCCTTTTACACTTGAAAGCTGAACCAATTACCATTGTAATAAGGCTTATACTAAGTTCACTATACACAACCAACTATTAAAAATCGCCAAAATTGTCGCTGATGACCAGCTGATAACTCATTCGTTGCGTCCAAAAAAATGGCGCAAAATGTCACAAAGTCTGCTGCAGCTCCCGTATATGGGCATTACATGTCCTTGTGTTCTTTAGTCATTGGTTTTTAATATAAAAAAAGGCCCATAAAGACAGTATTTGAGTGTGCTCCACAGGAAGAAGTCGTTCGGCGAAAGATCCTGTGGTCTTTTCCTACTGTATCCTCAATAAACGGGAGTAAATGTTCTTCTTTCCTTCAACATGAAGAATATTCGAGTCATTGCTATTTTTTTCCTGTTCAATTATTTTTTTTCTTCACACTTCCATGTGCTTAATGCCTTAGTGCCTTTAAACTGACTTATTCGGTATAGGCTTTCCGGAGACTGAGCTTCGAACATATCTAACACAGCGGGAATACTATTTTGTGTTATTTGGAATTGTAATACTAAAGAGAGATTATCTTCACACTTCCATGTGCTTAATACCTTAGTGCCTTTAAACTGACTTATTTGGTATAGGCTTTCCGGAGACTGAGCTTCGAACATATCTAACACAGCGGGAATACTATTTCCAGCAAAATGCCGTTTAACCATTGTAACTTTTTCAGAAGTTGCGAAATTCATAATTTTATATTTGGCTTGGTACCTTCAAATTTTTGTAAACAAAATGTGACATCGAATTTGACAATGACACAATCACATTTTTGCTGGTATTTTAATTATGTAGCTACTTCTAGGCTGTATTATAAATTTTACTAATTTGAAGGTAGATTTTGCATATAACTTTTAAATGACTATTCCAAAGGAAACGAAATTCTACACAAAAGTACAACTTTAACGCCTTCTCAAAAAAGTATAATACAATTTTTGCATAAAATCATCTGAGGAGATAATATTTGTATCAATTATAATATATTATATTATATTTCAAAATTAACATGGGATTTCCTATATCACGTATTCTGATGCACCACACGGTATAGTGTCAGATAAAATGTGCATCTTATGGAATTTTATTTTATTTATAGATTTAGTTCAAATTTGACTTTGGCGTTAGTTTTTGTTTAGAAGTGGAATAAAAATGACAATAAAATTTACGCTGTTGCTATCGGGTATCTGTCAAATTGGACATTTATAAAAATATATGGTTAAAACATGATTTTATTGGCTGAATTTTGAAAAAGTTGTTTGTTTTTCAATTTTACATAAGTTCACTAATTTTCAGCTATCTAAATGAAAAATAAAATTTCATAGTTTTTAACCAATAGTTAATAATAATTATTAACCAATAATAAACTTATTGAATCAATTAATAGTTTTTATATATGTATTATACAGGGTGTCTCAGATTTTAATCGGGAAAATTTAATAGACGATAGAACTTGCAAAAATAAAACAAAAAGTTTATATCAACTTGTAAGATTTAAAATTGTTTCGAGATACAGAGTGTTAAAGTTACTTAAAAAAGAAAAAAAAATAAGGTATTTGAAAAACTATTTAATCGATTTTGATATAACTTGACTCGTTTATAAAAATTACTATGGGACTTTTGATGTAATTAGATTTAAGTTTAATGGCCAGGGGTGGCGGTGGGGCGTCACTGTTAAGTTATTTTAAAGGAAAAAATCGGCACGCCACTGCTTTTTTAAGTTTAATATTATTTTTGGATTTAGTAATTAAAAATATTATTTTTTTGTCTCCTGACTTTTTTGTCTATCTTGCTTACTTCTTGCGAAAAAAAAATAAATTCAATTATTCGCTCCACCCTGGAGAATAAATTAAATAATAATGGTTAAATCAATTACATAAATTAATTAATCCTTAAATCTAATTACATCAAATTAAGTCCCATAGTAAGTATTATAAACCGATCAAGTTATATCAAAATCGATTAAATAGTTTTTCAAATACCTATCTTAATTTTTTTTTCTTTTTTAAGTAACTTTAACAACCTGTATCTCGAAAAGGAAGCTTTAAATCTTACAAGTTGATATGAACTTTTTGTTTTATTTTTGCAAATTCTATCGTCTATTAAATTTTCCTGGTTAAAATCTGAGACCCCCTGTAGATTATATGCCTATTTCGGCTTACTATGTGCCCTGTTAGTAGACCCACTACAGTTTTGATTGTCTTTCTATCTTTGCTTGTCACATATCAGGCCGTGAATCTTGGCGAATGTCTACTATAACTTTTTCTCCCACCCTTGTCGCTATCCTGTTGAATTTCTGCACTCTTTTAGAGATTTGTTGGCCACCCAACGTTTTGTGGCTATCCTCGTGACTGTTTCGCATAAGATTTCTGGGTCTATGAATGGCGTTGTTTAGCCATCTTGTTTAGCAATTCATTAACAACATATTTTTCCCTCGTATCATAGACAGACGGAGACTTAATGTCCGAAATGTCCGAAAATAATCTCTCTTTAGTATTACAATTACTGATTGAATATAATGATAAAAGCGATTGAAAAGGTTTTTACTTCATCGTTATTAAGCAATAATATAAATATAAAATACCAAAGCATTTTGCTATACTACATATTACTTATTTGCCTCTGCATTCCGAATTAACATTTAAGTTTTATTAGGAATGACATTTACAAAAAGAGCTGTTCATAGTATACTTTTCATACTTTTTTAACAATTTTCGAATAGATAAAATAATGTAGTATACAATTTGCTTTCGGTAGAAGATATACTAAGGGCTAGCAAAGGTTAGTCTTGGGTCGAGATTTCCGTATGTAAGAAGAGTACAATGCGTTTCTAATGTACTGAACAAAGAGAGAACAGTAAACACGTTGTCAAACGTATGAAATAAACCGAGAAATTGTGCACATTGCTAAGAGAAAGGTATATAACAGATTTGTCGCAAGGTTGACCCAATCAGTACCTCTGTCAGTACTTAAAGTTCTAGGGAAAGGTGTACATCATGCGTCCAGGTTCACGATTTTCCCTATAGCTTGAAATTTTTTAAGTGCAAGTTACAAACACTTCAATTTTTGGTAAAAATAAGTGAAAGTGAGTCGGTGTTCGACAGTGGTCGCGCTATTAGCTCTGAATTCAAAAATCGATATCTCGAAATCTATTAGAAATAATTGGTTGTACTTTTTTCAAAATCTTCTTAACATTTCTGCTATATTTTCTTCGCAGACAGTATGTGAAAATCTTTATAAATAAAAAAGTTACACGATTGCTGAAAATTGCTATGCACTAAAAGTAAACGGATGGGTTGTTTAAAATTTTTGAATGGAAAAAACAATAATCGTCATAAAAAAATGGACAATCTAACGATATCCTTATAATTCTATTTCAGATGCTCAGAAACATATCTAATGATTTTATCTAGTTATCTCTTGGAAAAAAAGTCTTTTAAAAATAAGCGGTTTGCGATCGTGATTTTACTTTACTTGATAGGGGAATGCATATTGGCAACGCCACAACAGCACACCGTCGCATTTCTCTCACTCCGACTTAATAAGATCCCTATGTGATTTACTTCTACACATGTAAATACCGACCCAAAAGTAACAGTTGCCAGCACGGTATGAGAACATTTACCAAGAATATGATATTTATTTCTGCAAATATTCAATATTCTGCAAATTTCTGCAATTCTTAACAGACTAACATTCTAAATAAAACTAGTTTTAAGCCAATGTAAATACTTAGCATTAGTAACACTAACATTTAAGTTCATATCATCAGGGTATTTTACAGTTTAGACTAATTTTAGCCTTGTCTTAATTGTAGGGATTAACGATAACATTGATAATTTTTTTGAAATCCTATAATTGTGGATTTATTTGTTTTATAAAAATATAAATATTATTATTTATTGTCCTTTAAGATAAAGGTAAAGCGTGCATTCATATTTTAAAATAGCAACATGTTATGATATGACGAGACAGAATTATTCTACAGTATGTCCCCGGATTGCCTTTACAATAGGGAAAACTTTTTATTATTGATATTTTGAGAAAACCCCATTCTTCATAAAAAAAATTCTTGTTCTAAAATGGTTAATCCCGTTTATACTTTTCCAAATTTTCATACCATTTTAGAGAAAATTAGAAAAAACATGAATACATGTTGAATTTCTTCTTAAAAATCAAAACGCGTTGCTATGGTAATATAATTTTGTTTTCATTCTTCGATAGAATTTTAATTAACGTCATATTTCTTGCTGTTTTAAAATGTTATAGAAGCACAAACTTTATTTTGTTCAATGCTACGGAAAGGGTGATATAGTAGTTAGGTATCGGAAAATGTGTTACTTTAACAACAGAAAAAATATGACGTTAATCAAATTTAATAATAACCATCGATAAAAGAATGAAATCGAAATTATATTATGGATATTTGTAAAACAATAAACGGGATTAACCATTTTAGAAAAAGCAAAATTTTTTGTGAATCTCTTAATCATCTATGACTTTAGTTTTTTATAGGATTTTTCAATTTTTACGTATGGACAAAAACTGATAATATTGAAATTTTTTATTGTGCAGAGAACATAATAATATTTTGATTTTGGAACATATTCTAAATCAAAACAAAAAATTGATATAAACGATTAATATTATATTAAGGTTATCTGCTATAATTTTTTCCCTTCAGTATGACTTGGTATGACCTAGTTTTTATTTTTTTTTGGTATATGAAAAAAAAAACAGAGAGGGAGAGACAGAGAGAGAGATAGAATAATAGTTTTTGCTTTGATGAAATGCATTAAATATGTGTTACCTGTGTTACCTTCTTGTTTTTATTTGTTAATATAGATAGCGACTCTCCGTAAATTTGCATAATTTAGTTGCAAAATCCTGATAATATTTAAATTGCTTATGCTTTTTAGTTTATATAATATTATATTTTAATTTTATAATTTGCGATATAATATATTCGTATACTCGTATATTATACCGAGTGGTGCATTGTCGTTGGAAACATAGGAAATCACTTGCAATTTTTGAACTGTCCAAATATTGGCTCCCCTATTAATTTTACAGCAAAGTCGTAAACACATTTTTTTTAAGGTTTTGATGGCTGAGTACACATGCCAAATTTGAACAATTTTGGTCACGCCGATTTTAAGTGATTTAGAAAAACTGCATTTATTTAAAAAAAAGACCGTATCGATGTTATTGGTTATCAGGCGGCAAACTTTTGAAGGAACTTGTAATAAGACAATAATTGAAAAATAACGAGATATTAATTAGTTTTTCAAGTGTTTAGATATAAATTCTGATATCAATAAAAATTGTATTATCTTTTTTTATTTCAGATATATTATATTCATTATGTAGTAGTTAAAAGAGAGATTTTATATTAGACTGTTATCTAGAATTTAAACTCATTCTACTACTCCGAGAACTAAATAGGTCAATTATCGATATTTAAAATTATTATTCCTTCAAATGGTCAAAATATTAAGTTAAGTTAGTCTAAATTTGACGCCAGTAATCGGTCATCAAAAAATTATATACATAGATACCTTTTGCTGTTACCCAATAAAGAACTTTCATCATCATAATCTGTGTCCTCATCGTCACTATAAGAATTGCCATACACCATCTTTGTATATCCCTTCTTTATGATTTACACAAAATAACTTTTTTAATTTCTCGATTTTTTCACGTGGGTTGGTTATCAACGTCAGGCTTGGATATGTCTGAAAGATTTTGTAAAAATAATATTTTGTTGTTTTTTGACGATTTCAATTTTGATAAGATAACAATAATTACATATTTATTGCATGAGATTTACTCTGTCTAAAAAACTAATAATGTTTTCTGTGATTAAATGTTAATGAGGTGTATTTTATGCGACTAGCAGGTATTTGCTGCAAATAATCACTATCTCTCTGCAACTATTATCACTAAACAAAACAATATTTACTTTATATACACAGTCAGTTCAGAATGAATTGACGGAAATTTGTGAGTAATTTTTTACTTGAGCAATAAAAAAATAGTTTTAACTGGGTATGTTTTTGTATTATGCTAATAGTGGGTCTCTGGAGGACTTTGCATTGAGATTTCAAGGGTTTATTGTGCTTTGTGCTTGAGTCCTACAATAGTTAAATTTCATTCTCAAGGCCCAACCTTTTAATATAGGTGGTTTTATCCGAGTGTAATAAATATGTCTCCACAACGTCTGGAGAGGTCCAACATAGCTTTGTTACTTTCCATACATAGCCGGCATTCGGCCTCTTCCAAGTCCCATCCTTTGAAGATGTGATCTTAGCTTGGTTTGGGTAGTGTATACTAGGGTTCAGACCCGGGACACAAAATTATTAATTCTCGGGTATTTCGGTACTTTCGGGACTGTGTAACATAATTAAAAAATTGCTTTTTGTTACACGTGAAAGACAATTGGTACTGTCTAGCGGTCGAAATCAAACTCTTCTAAATAAGGTAGTGATGGTATATTATTGTCTTAAGTTCTATTAAAGTTCCTATAATATTTATTAGCAATTATGGAAGTTTAAATAAATTATTTTATTATTTGGTATAATGTTGCTAAATGTATTAGTTATATTTATGATATATTCTTATAGGCATTTGGGCATTTTTAAGTGAAAATGTAAGTTTTTTTTCTCAAAGTTAGTTAAGTTAGTTTATGTTGTTTGATGTAAAGTATAAGTTGCCTATGGTTTTTTCCTTTTCTTCGCTTGTGTTCATGTTAATTATTTCATGACTGATTACTTAATAATTTATTATTATTTCAATTTAAAACTTAATTTTCTTTTGGTTTTACTTTTGAAAACAATCTTGCTTGCTGATTGACGAAGTGCACAGTCATTGAACAAACATTTGTTAGTATCGAAAGTACTGGCAAAACCTTGAAATTCCGGCTCCCTAGAGCTATTGTACCGAAATTCCCGGTTCAGAAAAACAGCTCCGGTTCCGGAAACCTTAATTAATATTCCTAATTAGGGTTCAGAACTGGGAAATCTCGATTTTAAAAGTACCGAGAATTACCGGATCTTGTTGGTTTTTTTGCCATCACCAGAACCGGGCCTCGAACTTAATTCCCGCTTTATTCAGGACTCGGTAACAATAATTAAAAATGTTGTTACGTAAGAAAGTCCTTGATACTTTATAGTTCTTTTTTACTTAATAATTTGAAATTGCTATTAAAAATCTCAATTTTTTCGATTTTACTTTGTAAAAAGCGTAACATCCACCGTCAACGTATCCTCGAAAATGTATGGTCCAAAAAGTCTTCAAACAATAATCCCACCCGTTTTGTTGTCATTTGAAAAATTCATATTTACAATAATTATTTAGTTGCCTCTTGATAAGTCAAGACCAACTATGGTTTTCATTTAAACAAAATATATATTTGTGTCATATGTCAGAAATGGCAGGCTTTAGAAAGAAACGGAGAAGACAATGTCATTGAGGATGTTATTATCTACAACTTTTATTTAAATTTTTTTTTGTCTAAAATAGATAATAATGGAACTAGAGAGCATTTTTAAAATAGTCGAGATTCATATTTAATATCTATTTAATATTGTCTGTTGGGCAGTTACTCTAGCAGATATGGTTTTATATGGAAGTCCAAAAGTTGATCTCTACTCTATCATAAACAATTACAGCAACAACGAGATATTAATCAGCGATGGGAACTATCGAATAAATTAGACTATCGAATGGTTACTGAATGAATGATTTTAACCATCGAATTGTTTTATTCGAATAAAATCATTCATTCATTTGTATACTAAAGCATATATGTGACAACCTCGCCGTGCGACTAAATGGTTATCGTTGAGCCACGACTATCGAATGCTTTTGATAAGTGAAATTTAGTATTCGTTTGATTTTTGTGTGCGTCAGTGCGTTATTAGTTCTTCCAAATTTTTATAACTTCGCCTTATAAATACTGTGCTATTTTTGCATTTATTAAAATATTTAAAATACTAAAATAGTAGTTTTTTTAAATTGGCGATTGTGTGCCGAATGCAGGTGGTCAAAATTTTTCCGAAAATTTGTGTGATTTTCAATTATTTAATTTTATATGGTATATGGTCTATTTTTTAATGGAAAATTTTGAGAAGTAGCAATTTTTAAGAGAGATGAGATGAACTTACAATTAATTTTAAAAATACATATTTGTATTTTAGATGTTATAATAATATGAATTAATTAAACTTAATAATCATATTTAAGTAATGTGGTTAAGTATTTAACACGTGCCAATTTAAAAAAAAAGTTAACGATGTTTGTATTTTGTTTATGCTAATTCTCTTACATGTAGTTTTTTGCGAAGAAATATTTCATTTATTTTTTAAAGTAAATGCCAGTAAAAGTAAATATTATTTCTAAATAATAATATAAAGTACCTAATATAAATAATTTTGATTTCTAATTTTTTATTTATATTTTCCTTCCATTAAGAAAATTAATAAATAAGCTTAGAAAATTAATAAATGTTTACATTAAATGATTTTAAATTTTGTTGTTAATAGGTATAACAAATTATTACTGTTATTATTATTTATTAAACCAGTCTTTGCTTAAAAACATTAAAAATCATTTTCCTACATCCAAAATAACAAGTATTATTGCAGTGTAACAACAGAATATTAACAAAAAAAATGCAAAATATATAGACATACTATCCCTAACTAACTAAAGCCAAACAATAATATTTTATGCTAATATCAACTAATACCAATATATGGCAACAGCGCCCTTTATAATGTATTTTCTTTGTAAATACGAACACCTCAATAAAAAAAAATAATGTGTACTTTCTTTATCTGACTCCGCAAAAAATCAAAGATGCCGGCTTCTTTCATAGCATTGCCACCGACCGCTGCCGGGTTTCTCGGAAAGAAACCTATGCCGGGCGACAACTAAAATCCAGTTAATATTTTATTATAATCGATCCTGACGAATAAATGAATTTTATAATGAATGAATCTTATAAATGAATGGTTTTTGCTGCCGAATTACTAGAATACAATATTTCAAGGCAGATGACGCATCTATTCGATAATTTTTATTCGAATAGTTTTCAACGAATGTTTACTTACTAGCTATCGAATTATTCGAATGAATTGCAACTATCGAATGTTTCGATAGTATTCATTCGATAGTTTCCACTACTAATATTAATTAGCCGATACTTCTGAAAATAAAACTATCTCTACCAGAGTAAACGTCAATAAACAATAATATGACACTTCAATCACAGTGCCATTAAAAAATAATAAACACTATTTTTATTAGGTATAAGGTATTGATAATGACCCAAAATCAATGCTAAAATTGCGTTAAAATCGTTACTGTCTTATTCAAAAGCGAATATCTCCAATAAAAATAAAGCTATTGAGATGAATAAAAATACAAACTATGGAGAAAAAACGTAGCTAGATGATAAAATGCTTTTGAAATTCCTTGCTTTGTTAACATATTCCACAGGGTGTTTCAAACTTTTACCAAAATAACATTTTGTTTTCCCTCGCAATTGACAGATGGAAACTTTCATTTCTAATTTAGAAAAAGAAAATAAAAAGTCAAATAATTTAGCTACAAATTGCTTAAAAATCATCAAAATTGGCCCATTAGAACAAAATATATTAAACTTTAAAATGCGTAAAAATTTTAAGGTGCCCGTTTTTCGTGCCGGTGAGTGTATTTTCGGCAATTAGTATTAGAAAATTGTTAACTTGCCAATAACTCGGGATACTGAGCGCTTGCACATACAACGGCAAAATCGGTGCCGGAGCCAGCGCGTCGCTGGCTTTGTACACGTTCCGCAGTTGTATTTAATTCTATTGTATTTGCCGGTCCACGACTATTTTACTGGATCGGAGTATATGTCAAGAAGCTAATTTATATTGCAATCAATTTCAGCACCGACACCGGCATCGGCACCGATTTTGCCGGTGTGTGTGTTGCCTTTAATTTTTGAATTGGAAAAAATTGTTATCTTTACTTAATTTAATAATATATCTCCATAAAAGAATATTATTACGTGGAACGAGCTAACTTCGTTAATATTCAGGATGCGCACTGAGATAGTCTTGGTCATAAATTTATTTAGAATGCTGCAGCAAACATGGCGTCATAGAATTTCCAAGTGGGTCTGATTTCCATTCGTAGAGGTAAACTTCTCACTTTTATTATAACATCGCTGAAATTTTATGATTGTGATTTTAGGTAGGTTTGGCGCATTAAAAATGAGATTTCTACAATAGAATTATATAAATTCTTAATTAGTTTATAGCTAAATAGAAAATCAGTTTTAAATACCGTATGATCGAGAAAAAACGGCGTCAAAGGCGGCTGGGGAATGACTATCGATGCTATTTTTGCCGAGATAGAACTCTAGACGTCAGTTACTGAGAACTGACATAAAATTTGTCAAAAATTAATACCTTATATAGAAAAACCAGAAAAGAATAGAAAGTTTCCAGATACACATATCTATTTCCAAAGAATTGTTTTTTCAAATGTTTCGATCTGCACCAGTTCTACTAAATAAAAAAATCGATATTAAATCATCCTTAATGCAGTAAACGCCTTTAAAAATAAAGAAGAGCAAGACCAGTAAGACTCTAACCTAACTAAATCTCGTCGTCCGACAAGATGCCGACAAGCCTCCGACCGAGACATTTCGACAACATTTTTGATTATTGTATTGTTAAAATGTACGGATTAGCCTTTTATTATTGTTTCATACACACTAGACCGTTCAGATTTACTAATATTGCGTTGATTATAGCTGTAAATAAAAATGTGTGTTTAATACCAGTAAATAATCCGTTAGTTGATGGAAGAAGTATCGTGTT